GAAGAGAGAAGAGACTTTTCAAAAAAACGAAAAGGGAAAGGGAAAAACCGGGGAACAAAAACAGGGGGTGGGCCCCTTGGGCTCACCAATTAAGGTTCAAAAACAATTTTAAAAAGAAAGGTATCCCCCAAACTTAGTAAAAATACAAAAATACCTATTTTCTTACGTAAATTCCGGGACGGGTTGTTACATAGACCATACCTCTCTTGAAAAAGAAAATACAAGAAAAAGATTGGGTGGACATATGCCCAAACCTTCTTATAAACCTTAAAAGGTAAGAACCTGCAAGACAAGCTGCAAAACGAAAAAGGAAATCCAAAAAGATTATGCAAAAAAGGAAATCACACATCAAGAAAGGGAGACAAACCTGTAGGCTGGCATGCCCAAGAAATCTGAGTGCAAAAAGGTATACAGATCATACTATATATATATAGAGGTATACAGGGTATGCACGAGGTTCCTTTGGTCCTAGAATGGATCTTAAGCTTAGACAACATGAATAGGCTATTGGTCAAATCAATTGAAAGATTCATTAATTTACATCAAACTCTTCAGAAGCTTTTCCGATTTACGATATTATGGCGGACCTCGAAGGGTCGGTCATCTTAGATGACACGTTCCGATTCCGATATTCCTTAAACATCATGATAGACACGTGCTGACTAATACTTAAGGGTGACGAAAGCCATTTATTAAATGTAAATGTTGAGAACAAAGAATAAATAAAACTTATAAATTTAAATATAATAAACATGCATTTAAGGAACGTATTCAGAGCATATAATTAACTAAAATACTAAAAAAAATAATATAAAATTGAATGAATAAGAGGATGGATCCTACACTGAGATGACTCGAAGATGCCTCTCACTCCTCCGTTGTATTCTATGCCATCTTTTTGTTCCTATGCCCTTTTCCTGTTGTTGTGCAGCTTGGTTGGGGTCCATAGGCTCATTTATACTTCTCTCACTAGCTTCCTCAGTACCCTCCTCCCTTCGACTGTTGAGTCGAACCTCTTGTTCCCACTCTTATCGCCCCTGCGTGCCTCCTTTCTCCCGCAGTAATGGCTAGAAGTCTTGGGGATTCAATAAATTCCCTAACTGGTGCTGCTCTTGTCCAATCTCCATAATTAGCCATTCCTCCTTTTACCTCAGCAAACGAACACTCTGTATTCGCGTGGCCAACCTTCCACAACGGTAACAGAAGTCTTGCAGTCTTTCGTATCTGAACTCAATCCAAGTTTCATTATTATTATCCCTCGGTAGCCAACATCCCGTTGTTAGGGGTTTTGAGGTATCAACCGCTACTTGCACTTTCAGAAATCCTCTGGCCCTTTCGGGGTCTTCAAGCTCCACAAACTCCCCAATCTTAGCCGCCAGTCTCCTCACATTTGCTTCTGAACTAAGATAAGGTGGGAGCCCCCTAATTTGTATCCAAAACGAGACAACTTCCATGTTTACTTCCTCCAAGGCTAACACCTGTGACCATCTTTTTACAGAGAAACTTTGTTTCATAACTCCCCACGGCACCTGGTCCATGATCTTCTCTGCAGTACTCTCGTCTTGGACATTTATAATGAAAGTGTAGTCTTTGACCCATTTGATTTCAATCTCCCCCAGCTATTTGTTAAGGGTTTTTTGAGCCAACACCGTACCCACTAACTTGATTCCTTGTTCCATAGTAGATAGATCCATATTTCGTTCCAGGTGGACCACAAGATCCTCAACTGCCGTTTCGGCCATTTCTTTCAGAGACACAGTATATCCACAAGCTATATCTTTCAGAGTATACACCAAATGGACTGTTGTTGCGCTGTCCAACTTCACCCTTTGAAATTTCTCCAATCTCTCCTTATTCTCAAAGCTTTTTTATTCTAATTGAAGGTACCACAGGACCACAGGCACAAATACTAGGTTTGTGACCCACTCTTGAAGCCTACCTTTTCATTAATGCCCAAATTCAATTTTGCAGAGTAGTTGACCATTTCAGCTGAACAAACATGTTGGTCATCCCTTCAGACACCCCACAGCTCCCAGATCTGACCCGAAAATTAAAAAACTGAGAGGGGAAAGGTATATAGAGGAGAGAAGGAAAAGGGAATAGGATTTATGACTGAGCTAGGTAGGTTTAAGAGCAGTTAATTTCTGCGAATGGATGGTGATTGACAAGGTTTCAACGTTTTCTTTGGTGCAACGACCTCTCACCATTTTGTAAAATGTACTGACGTATGACCACAGCATAATTTACTGAGCATGTACGTGGACCCAACTATCATGACTCACTGCTTTTCTTTCTGTTGGTGAGTCAAGTCAACTAACAACGATGTTTAATCATTTTTTCTTTTTTCTTTGGACAAACTATTATATGTTTAATCATATTTGACGTAGATCAGACGACGTAGTGGATCGAAGATTAAACTGAAATTCGTAAATTCAACAGCAAAATTCAAGCTTGTTTTTCAGGATGGAGATCCTCTTCGGATTCTTTTTATTCAGATACTAAGGATTCTCATATCGTGACCGTTCATCGTACATCATGCGATCAATTTTCGTTACTTACTATTTGTATTTAATTTTAAATAAATAAATTCAAAATAATTCTAGCCGAGAACGTGAGGATTCTTACGATCCACACAAATTGATTTCGGATGGAATCCAAATCCTTTTTTTTGAACTGGCAATTTTATTAAACAGGGAATTGTCCCGTGCATCGAGTGCAATTCACCATTTTATCATGACATACAGTCTTTTTAGGCCAAATTTTGTTGTTTACTATGTTTCATCAACAGTTTAAGGGCATTTTAACTTACGCGGAAAGAAATTGGAATGATAGTTATTCCCATTGTGGATTACTTCTTAATCTTATATATAAAGCCGGCAGATTTTTGAACAGTGATTTTTGGTGTCATATGCTTCATCAAAAATAATTGTACATAAATGCTCCTCAAACAAAATTTTTTAAAAGCAACCCAAAATAATGCATCAAATGTGGTAGGGGTATTTCGTCATTTTAACAGTGTTTTTTTAATAATTAATTTTTTTTTGCATTTTTTTATTAGTACCTTACAATATGCTAGTAATAATATGATTCAATCAGTTGTTCATTAATTATTATTATTATTATTATTATTTAAACAAGTTCAAAACATCCTAAGAGACGTGTAATGCCGATTATAAAAAATGTCTTTCGCACGTACATATTAATATGATTAAATTAATTATCAAATGATTATTATTATTATTTTTTTGAACAAACGATATTATTTGACTTTCCTTTTGTCAATTCACGTATATAAATACATTTAAAACATGTAAGTCAAGCGTAGCATGTCGTGATTCAAAAAATATCTTATGCAAGCGTGTGAATCAACAATAGTGTGGCCCCCCATAAAATCAAGAGTGATTCTCGATATTGAGGGAATCAAAATAGGAAATTTAAAAAAATAATCACAATTATAGAATTATAACCACAACTTTAATTTTATAATAATTAAAAAGTTGATATGAAGCTGCTGATATACCCTTAATGACTAAATACTTCCTCTTTCTTCCTAAACACACCAGAATACTCGTTGTACTCGATCTCCATTCGATCTCCATCCGATTCAGCTCCGAAGGGAAGTTGCGATTGAAAAGATGAGCATGTGATCATTCACTTCACACGGTCGTTTTTGCCTCTTTCTTTCCTTTCTAAATTCAATGATTGTTGAGTTGTATTGGGTTTTCCTCCAAGTTTTTCAAAATCTTCCATCTGGGTTTTATCTCTGATTATCACTTCTGGTATTGGATAGCTGTTGTACTTGCTTCTTCATCATCATCTTCTTCCTTTTGTCTCCAAGATTTTCAATCTTTTATTAACTTATAATTTTGGGTGAGGAATTCTGATCAATTTTCCCAGCTGCGTGGAGAATAATTCAAGAAATAAGGGGTTTGTGGCCACTTCAAGGGATGATATTATAGGCCACGTGGCCATTTGGAAACCACATGTGGGGTTTTTTTTTTTTTTTTTTTTGGGGGGTGTTTGTGGCCACTTTTGGGGATGATATCATAGGCCACGTGCCCATTTGGAATCCACATAGTGGTCATGCCAGGGAGAAAGCTTAACGTCGGCGACGTAGCAAGGAGGAAGAACTACGAGATTTGGGTAAACAGAGGCTTGCAGGTGGGCGTCACTGACGAGTGTTCTTCACGGTTAAGAGGATAAGAGGAAGTTTTTTTAGTCATTAAGGGTAAATTAGTAATTGTACACTAACTTTATGTTATAATTATTATAAACTTAGAAAAATGACTATTATTTTATTCGGAATCCAAATTTTAGTTATTTTTTCTAAATTTCCCAATCAAAATAACTACAAGCGCGGGCCCTGCATAAGATTTTGGGGTTTTTTTTTGGGTCTTTTTTATTTGGGTCTTTTTAGGGTTCTGTTCTTGAGTATTTTTTATTTGGAAATCTTTTGGGTTTTGAATAGGGGTAAGCTTTTGTCATTAGAAATTCGGGAATTCTCCAAGTTGCGAGGAACACCAACAATCGTGAAGAGGAGAAAGTGAGGATCCTTAATGGGACAAAGCTACTTTTAAAAGAAAATCTTTTTCCATCTGGGGGGATACTTGTTTATTCAGTATCCATAGCAGTCATATCAATTTTATTGTAAATTTTTTTATTTAAAATTAAATATAAACAGTACTTAACGAAAATTGACCGCACGATTTACGATGAACGGAAGTGATTCGAAAATCTTTGGAATCCTTATAAAGAGAATCCGGCAGGGATCCTCTCTCAAGAAGAGAGGGCTATGCCCTTTTTTTACATATATTAATTTTGATATTTTAATAGAAAAGAAATTGAAATACAATAGTAATTTATTATTAGTCTAGCTTCTTAGTATGACACAGTACCAAATGTTTCATTAAATTAATCATGTTTCATTAAGTTAGTTTGACTACACAATTTAGTACTGAAATCATTATATACATTATACATGCACATATCTTCGTCCATACGTGCGATTAAATTTTTTTTATTTTTATATTTTTTATTTTGACCGAATGATAGCATTAGTAGGCTAAATCCTCTACCACCAGTCATGTCTGACGGCTTTATATCTACATTTCCAAGCAAATGCCAAAAGAAGACTTGAAAAGAGGGATATTTGTAAGTCAATCACCGAGTAGCAAGTAAAGATCAGTTTGGGGGCCTTTTACTTTTAAGTGCCATCGTTTCATTAGTATTTTGCAAACTCTATAACACCTTTAGCAAGCTCCATATGTTCCTTTTTAGCACGAAGCAGAGGAAACTTGGGAAGAATCAGAAAAGAGGAATGCAATATTGTTTGCTAGTTCAAATGGCACTGTTCATTGTGTTGTTATGCTGTATAAGCACAATAGCGTCCGGAGCAGAAGCGCCGATGGCAAAGTGTTTAAGCCGTTGCGGAAATGTTAACATACCATACCCTTTCGGGATTGGACCTAACAGCGATTGTTACTTTGATGAAGGGTTTGAAATAAGCTGCAACAAGACAACCGGGAACGTGCCTGTCTTAAGACAAACCGGCCTTGAGGTACTGAATATTTCTATTGCCGAAGGCACAATTCAGGTCAAAAACCCTGTCACTTTCTTCTGTGGTGGGAACAGCAGTCGTCAACCGGCTAATTTGAAGGGAACCCCTTTTGTATACTCCGAGAGGCACAATAGATTCACTGCAGTGAGTTGTGGCTACCTTGTGTTGGTGGGCTCAGATGAGTATGTTGTTGGTGGGTGCAGGTCAGTTTGTGAGGGGACTGGTATAAACTATGGTAACTGTGAGGTTGGTATAAATTGTTGCCAGACTACCATTCCACCGCATCTCAGTGCTATCAGTATGCACATCGATACAGGTATTAGAGCAAGAGGAGATGATTGTAACAATGCTTATGCATTCCTTGTCGACAAAAATTGGTTTGGGAGCATTGCAAGTGTTTCCGATTTCAGTGTCAATGAGTATCACGAGAACGTTCCTGTGGTTCTAAAGTGGAGCTTAAACTTTGACCATACTTCTGACAAATTCTTTCACAGATTCATCGGAAGAAATGAGTCAAGGGCAGACGATGATCCAATGCCCTGTTGCACAAAACTAAATGCCACTCCCCTGTACGATCAGTCAAGGCTTCAATGCTTTTGCCCTCGGGGTTTCGAAGGAAACCCCTATCTTGGCCACCCTTGCCATGGTAAACCAACTCTCTACCATATCTTAAAATTTTCAATCCCCAGATTAAATTACAATATTTGTTTTATTGGTCCCTGCATTGCAGACATTGATGAATGCACAGATCAGAAAATATGCGGGAATGGAGGAGCTTCATCCTGTATGAACATTCCGGGGGGGCACACGTGCTACATCGTGGCTCAAAGGACAAGGGTCAAGCTGATCCTTATAGGTATGTATGTATCAGTCTTCTAACTGATTCATATATGAAAGATGATCATAGTGTACGATAATAATGACATAGGAAAAAAAGTATGCAGGAAAAAAAGAGGAGTCAATGGTGGAATTTACTTATTGAACATGTAAAATTTACTCACAGAAGACCTACAAGAATTGGATTAATAAAAGTTTAACATGTTAAAAGAACACTTTTTAAAATCAAAACAGAACTCAATCAAGTACGTACTCAAGTGATGCAGTCGTAGAGTAATCTATAAAACTTCAATTTAATGTTACGCAGGTCTTGGTGCGGGCATGGGACTATTGTTACTGCTTATCAGCGCATGGTGGATACACAAAGTCCTGAAGAAAAGGAAGAACATAAAACGCAAGCAAATTTTCTTCAAACGAAATGGTGGTTTATTATTAGAGCAACGATTATCTTCAGGTGAAGTTAATGTGGAGAAAATCAAGTTGTTCAAGTCGAAGGAGTTGGAGAAGTCTACCGACAATTTCAACGTCGATAGAATTCTTGGGCATGGAAGCCAAGGTACTGTGTACAAAGGCATGTTGGCTGATGGTAAAATTGTTGCTGTAAAAAGGTCCACAATTATTGATGAAAGCCAACTTTCATATTTCATCAATGAGGTTGTAATTCTTTCACAAATCAACCACAGACATGTTGTTCAACTATTGGGTTGCTGCTTGGAGACTGAAGTTCCGCTTTTGGTTTATGAATTTATTCCGAACGGAACACTTTCCCAGTATATCCATGAGCAGAATGAGGAGTTTCCACTTACATGGGAAATTCGCTTACGAATTGCCACAGAAATTGCAGGAGCCCTTTTCTATTTACACACCTCAGCTACCTTTCCCATTTATCACAGGGACATCAAGTCTACCAACATACTCTTGGATGCAAAATACAGAGCGAAAGTTGCCGATTTTGGAACTTCAAGATCAGTTGCCATTGACCAAACTCACCTTACCACACTTGTACATGGCACATTTGGTTACTTGGACCCGGAATACTTCCAGTCAAGCCAATTTACGGATAAAAGTGATGTGTATAGCTTTGGAGTGGTCCTTGTTGAGCTATTAACAGGACAAAAACCAATTTCTTCTAGCCGGTCACAAGAACAAGGCAGAAGTCTTGCTACATACTTCATTATTTCAATGCAGGAAGATCGTCTGTTTGACATTCTTGATGCTCAAGTTGTGAAGGGAGGGCCTAAAGCAGATATCGCAATAGTTGCTAACCTTGCAAGGAGGTGCTTGAATTTAAGCGGACGAAAACGCCCTACAATGAGAGAGGTCATGGCAGAGCTGGAAGGGGTTCAAATGGCGGAAAAGGCTACTTCTCACGGTGGAAAGAATTACGAAGAGGTTGAATATCTGAGGACTGAATCAGTTGAGCCATGGGATGTTATTTCAAGCTCAACTGACACAGGGCCTGCAGTGGATGGTGGTGCTGCTTCATCACGAACGCATGGAATCCCGCTCTTACCTTTCAAGTCACTGTGAACAATAATTCTATATTTCTGTATTTTTAAATTTCTAAATTTTAAATATTGTAATGAATGATCCAGTTTCATATATTTAGGTTTTTCATTTTTTCTTAAAACTCTTCTGTTAGAGTGAATGAGACTGCAGTTTGAACCTTCGGATCCTTAGGCCACATATCGGTGATGTCTGGCTGATTAACTGGTGATTTTTTTTTTTCCCACACATACGAACGGATACAGAAAACTAATCTTGACGGATCAACAGTCAATTAGCTAATTGATCCTATAAGCCATACTCAACAATTACTTGGCCCTTAACCAATCTTCTACCTGGCCTGTTTTTGTTATATAAGGAAAACATTAGCTCAAATTAAACTCTGGTTTTCTTCTTTCTTCATTCAAGCGATTGGGGAGGCGGAACTGAACTTGGGAACTCAAGTGCAGGAGTTGAATGATCTTAACCAACTGAACTACAAGTCCGTTAGAGCTAAAGCTAAACTTTGTTTCTTAATGTGGCTTGATACGGCAATATGTGAAATGAGCTTTGTTGAAAGCTAAAGACGTGTTGCACGTTGTTGATCTTGATATTGTTAAAGGGAATAGGGGAAGAGTCTCAACATCTAAGATGGAGTGGTGCAAGGATTTCATTTCCCCGACATGAGATTTATACTCTCAACGAAACCACCCCAAACAAAACTACCTGTTGTTAAGCTAGCCTCGGACCGAACTAAATCCCCAGATTTTAGCATCAACATCTGAGAAAATGGTGATATGGGATTAGATTTATATTTCACTGCCTGAAAACTTTATATTACACAGGGACATCAAGTCTTCCGACATACTTTTGGATGAAAATACAGAGCAAAAGCTGCTGATTTGGAACTTCAAGATCATTTTCTATCGACCAAACTCATTTGACAGCACATGCTAGCGGTACATTTGGTTACATGGACCTATATTTCCTAAATAGATTTGCGGAGAAAAGTGATGCGTATAGCTTTGGAATCGTCCTTGTCGATCTCTTGACTGGACAAAAACCAATTTGAGCAATAACAAGGTCACGGCAAGGAGACGAAGATTACACAAGCCTTGTCACATATTTCACTACTTCTATGCAAGAAGATCGTCTATTTGACGTTGTTCATGTTCGAGTTTTAAAAGAGGGCTCTGAAACGGAGATCAGAGTAGTTGCTAACCTTGCAATAAGATGTTTGAATATGAATGGAAGAAATAGCCCTATAACGAGAGAAGTTACAACCGAGTTGGAGGCCATTCAAATGTCAGAAACAACTTGTTGAAAATGAAACTTGAGCATTAAGGTGTTGTTGGTGAAGAGAACGTCATTGTATGTTGCATTTGCTATCATATAAAATTACATATGCTCTTTTGGACTATAATCCTCTGTGACTATTTATTTATTTTACTTTGTATCTACAAGGAAGTTAGGGCAAATCGACTGGTCAAGTATGGCAGGTAGATTTTAAAATGTATATGTGCATATTTCCACACAAACTACAAAAGTAAGTGCCCTACTTATATGCTTCTTAATTATTTTCAATATTGTCAATTAGTTTTATAGTGGAACATTAACTTACTTCATGGTATCAAAGCATATGCCTATATTTGAAGCTCAACGATCACACTTGCTTAACGACACCTGATTTATATTATCCACGTGTTAGGCTTTAGGTTTGAACTTCGCAATACGTGAGGTTCCGTTGAGAAACTAACATCTTTCCTTTTGTTATCCTTTATGGGTAAAATTTTTTTTCGAATCAAACCGAAAGCGTTTATTGGTTGGGTGGTTTTTCAGCAAAACGGAGAAAGTGAAAGAGAGAAGTTGAGGTTTGAGAGCGAGAGAGAGAGAGAGAGAGAGAGACGAACCTTCTTGCATGCTTGAGAGAGAGCTTGGCTTTTCCATCCGTCTTTTTTTCCGGATGAGCAACACGTGTATAGGAGTCTGCAACCAAACGCAGTACCTGATTTTTCCATTGTATTGAAGCGGATTGACGCGTGGATCTCTGGGGCAAGTTTGCCATTTAACTGTACCAAGCAGTTAAGACCACGGGAAACAAAGTACACACCAAGGGGCATTTAAGCCATTACACTGCTTGTGAACAGTGTTTTTCAGCGGGTTGTGTTTTTCACCGGGTTTTAGTATATATAGAATTTCCAAGCAATTGACAAAAGAAGACTTGAAAAGAGGGATATTTGTAAGTCAATCACCGAGTAGCAAGTCAAGATCAGTTTGGGGGCCTTTTACTTTTAAGTGCCATCGTTTCTTTAGTATTTTGCAAACTCTATAACACCTTTAGCAAGCTCCATATGTTCCTTTTTAGCACGAAGCAGAGGAAACTTGGGAAGAATCAGAAAAGAGGAATGCAATATTGTTTGCTAGTTCAAATGGCACTGTTCATTGTGTTGTTATGCTTTTTAAGCACAACAGCGTCCGGAGCAGAAGCGCCGATGGCAAAGCTTAAGTGTTCAAGCCGTTGCGGAAATGTTAACATACCATACCCTTTCGGGATTGGACGTAACAGAGATTGTTACTTTGATGAAGGGTTTGAAATAAGCTGCAACAAGACAACCGGGAACGTGCCTGTCTTAAGACAAACCGGCCTTGAGGTACTGAATATTTCTATTGCCGATGGTACAATTCAGGTCAAAAACCCTGTCACTTTCTTCTGTGCTGGGAACAGCGGTCGTCAACCCGCTAATTTGACGGGAACCCCTTTTGTATACTCCGAGAGACAGAATAGATTCACTGCAGTGAGTTGTGGCCACGTTGCGTGGGTGAGCTCAGATGAGTATTTTGTTGGTGGGTGCAGGTCAATTTGTGAGGGGACTGGTATAAACTATGGTAACTGTGAGGTTGGTATAAATTGTTGCCAGACTACCATTCCACCACATCTCAGTGCTATCACTATCAGTACGGACATCCATAGAGGAAGAGGAGATGATTGTAACAATGATTATGCATTCCTTGTCGACAAAAATTGGTTTAGGAGCATTGCAAGTGTTTCCGATTTCAGTGTCAATGAGTATCACGAGAACGTTCCTGTGGTTCTAAAGTGGAGCTTAAACTTTGACCATACTTCTGACAAATTATTTCACAGATTCATCGGAAGAAATGAGTCAAGGGCAGACGATGATCCAATGCCCTGTTGCACAAAACTAAATGCCACTCCCCCGTACGATCAGTCAAGGCTTCAATGCTCTTGCCCTCGGGGTTTCGAAGGAAACCCCTATCTTGGCGACCCTTGCTATGGTAAACCAACTCTCTACCATATCTTAAAATTTTCGATCCCCAGATTAAATTACAATTTTTGTTTTATTGGTCCCTGCATTGCAGACATTGATGAATGCACAGATCAGAAAATATGCGGGAATGGAGGAGCTTCATCCTGTATGAACATTCCAGGGGGGCACACGTGCTACATCGTGGCTCAAAGGACAAGGGTCAAGCTGATCCTTATAGGTATGTATGTATCAGTCTTCTAACTGATTCATATATGAAAGATGATCATAGTGTACGATAATAATGACATAGGAAAAAAAGTATGCAGGAAAAAAGTGGAGTCAATGGTGGAATTTACTTATTGAACATGTAAAATTTACTCACAGAAGACCTAAAAGAATTGGATTTATAAAAGTTTAACATGTTAAAAGAACACTTTTTAAAATCAAAACAGAACTCAATCAAGTACGTACTCAAGTGATGCGGTCGTAGAGTAATCTATAAAACTTCAATTTAACGTTACGCAGGTCTTGGTGCGGGCATGGGACTATTGTTACTGCTTATCAGCGCATGGTGGATACACAAAGTCCTGAAGAAAAGGAAGAACATAAAACGCAAGCAAATTTTCTTCAAACGAAATGGTGGTTTATTATTAGAGCAACGATTATCTTCAGGTGAAGTTAATGTGGAGAAAATCAAGTTGTTCAAGTCGAAGGAGTTGGAGAAGTCTACCGACAATTTCAACGTCGATAGAATTCTTGGGCATGGAGGCCAAGGTACTGTGTACAAAGGCATGTTGGCTGATGGTAAAATTGTTGCTGTAAAAAGGTCCACAATTATTGATGAAAGCCAACTTTCATATTTCATCAATGAGGTTGTAATTCTTTCACAAATCAACCACAGACATGTTGTTCAACTATTGGGTTGCTGCTTGGAGACTGAAGTTCCGCTTTTGGTTTATGAATTTATTCCGAACGGAACACTTTCCCAGTATATCCATGAGCAGAATGAGGAGTTTCCACTTACATGGGAAATTCGCTTACGAATTGCCACAGAAATTGCAGGAGCCCTTTTCTATTTACACACCTCAGCTACCTTTCCCATTTATCACAGGGACATCAAGTCTACCAACATACTCTTGGATGCAAAATACAGAGCGAAAGTTGCCGATTTTGGAACTTCAAGATCAGTTGCCATTGACCAAACTCACGTTACCACACTTGTACATGGCACATTTGGTTACATGGACCCGGAATACTTCCAGTCAAGCCAATTTACGGATAAAAGTGATGTGTATAGCTTTGGAGTGGTCCTTGTTGAGCTATTAACAGGACAAAAACCGATTTTTTCTAGCCGGTCACCAGAACAAGTCAGAAGTCTTGCTACATACTTCATTATTTCGATGCAGGAAGATCGTCTGTTTGACATTCTTGATGCTCAAGTTGTGAAGGGAGGGTCTAAAGCAGATATCGCAATAGTTGCTAACCTTGCAAGGAGGTGCTTGAATTTAAGCGGACGAAAACGCCCTACAATGAGAGAGGTCATGGCAGAGCTGGAAGGGGTTCAAATGGCGGAAAAGGCTACTTCTCACGGTGGAAAGAATTACGAAGAGGTTGAATATCTGAGGACTGAATTAGTTGAGCCATGGGATGTTATTTCAAGCTCAACTGACACAGGGCCTGCAGTGGATGGTGGTGCTGCTTCATCACGAACGCATGGAATCCTGCTCTTACCTTTCAAGTCACTGTGAACAATAATTCTATATTTCTGTATTTCTAAATTTCTAAATTTTAAATATTGTAATGAATGTTCCAGTTTCATATATTTAGGTTTTTCATTTTTTCTTAAAACTCTTCTGTTAGAGTGAATGAGACTGCAGTTTGAACCTTCGGATCCTTAGGCCACATATCGGTGATGTCTGGCTGATTAACTGGTGATTTTTTTTTTTCCCACACATACGAACGGATACAGAAAACTAATCTTGACGGATCAACAGTCAATTAGCTAATTGATCCTATAAGTCATACTCAACAATTACTTGGCCCTTAACCAATCTTCTACCTGGCCTGTTTTTGTTATATAAGGAAAAAATAAGCTCAAATTAAACTCTGGTTTTCTTCTTTCTTCATTCAAGCGATTGGGGAGGCGGAACTGAACTTGGGAACTCAAGTGCAGGAGTTGAATGATCTTAACCAACTGAACTACAAGTCCGTTAGAGCTAAAGCTAAACTTTGTTTCTTAATGTGGCTTGATACGGCAATATGTGAAATGAGCTTTGTTGAAAGCTAAAGACGTGTTGCACGTTGTTGATCTTGATATTGTTAAAGGGAATAGGGGAAGAGTCTCAACATCTAAGATGGAGTGGTGCAAGGATTTCATTTCCCCGACATGAGATTTATACTCTCAACGAAACCACCCCAAACAAAACTACCTGTTGCTAAGCTAGCCTCGGACCGAACTAAATCCCCAGATTTTAGCATCAACATCTGAGAAAATGGTGATATGGGATTAGATTTATATTTCACTGCCTGAAAACTTTATATTACACAGGGACATCAAGTCTTCCGACATACTTTTGGATGAAAATACGGAGCAAAAGCTGCTGATTTGGAACTTCAAGATCATTTTCTATCGACCAAACTCATTTGACAGCACATGCTAGCGGTACATTTGGTTACATGGACCTATATTTCCTAAATAGATTTGCGGAGAAAAGTGATGCGTATAGCTTTGGAATCGTCCTTGTCGATCTCTTGACTGGACAAAAACCAATTTGAGCAATAACAAGGTCACGGCAAGGAGACGAAGATTACACAAGCCTTGTCACATATTTCACTACTTCTATGCAAGAAGATCGTCTATTTGACGTTGTTGATGTTCGAGTTTTAAAAGAGGGCTCTGAAACGGAGATCAGAGTAGTTGCTAACCTTGTAATAAGATGTTTGAATATGAATGGAAGAAATAGCCCTATAACGAGAGAAGTTACAACCGAGTTGGAGGCCATTCAGATGTCAGAAACAACTTGTTGAAAATGAAACTTGAGCATTAAGGTGTTGTTGGTGAAGAGAACGTCATTGTATGTTGCATTCGCTATCATATAAAATTACATATGCTCCTTTGGACTATAATCCTCTGTGACTATTTATTTATTTTACTTTGTATCTACAAGGAAGTTAGGGCAAATCGACTGGTCAAGTATGGCAGGTAGATTTTAAAATGTATATGTGCATATTTCCACACAAACTACAAAAGTAAGTGCCCTACTTATATGCTTCTTAATTATTTTCAATATTGTCAATTAGTTTTATAGTGGAACATTAACTTACTTCATGGTATCAAAGCATAGGCCTACATTTGAAGCTCAACGGTTACACTTGCTTAACGACACCTGATTTATATTATCCACGTGTTAAGCTTTAGGTTTGAACTTCGCAATACGTGAGGTTCCATTGAGAAACTAACATCTTTCCTTTTGTGTTCCACTAAAATCTAACAGCGCATTACTTGGGCAACATGTTTGAAGATTTATTCCATGTGTAGAAACTCCTGATGATGGTTTCGTGCATGCCATGGCGAAACCTTAATGATCAACCAACTCATATATCATTACGAAAACATTATACGGTTGGAAATGTACGTGGTGCTTCTTCACCGGGCCCCTTCAAAAGTTCAATTAAACGTCCGTGGTAAACCTGGGTGGTCAATAATTAGCACTCAATGTTATAACAAATTACCAATGCAACCCCGCTGACTTGTTAACCAAGTCGTAGATCATCTCATCTTTAAGATAGAAAATACGTTGACTGGAAAAATTGTATGCAGATGATCATCTTATATTGGTCAAGTCTGGCTGCTGGCGGCTACTTAATATTCATCCTGTAATGTTTCCACACTAGGAACCATAACAGAAGTCCTGACCAACGAAACGAATAATTCCCATCCTGGCCCAAATAACCAGGGTCTTGTGCACCGTGGAAGAGCTTTCCATTGTAATTGGAGGAAAATATTTGGCTCCTTCGGTCGTTTCACTCCTAACAATCACAGTTTGACATATGTGAATAATTTTTCTATGTATATTTGATGAGTACTTTTACTATGTGTCAAATTTTTATATGCAAGAACGAGGAATGGCTCTGTTGGTCTCAAATCGGTCTCAGCTACTGAGAATTTGGGGATCTTTTGGTCCTTCTAGTTTGTGTGCGGGTGTGCCAACTTGCAGCCTAAGGCTGAGCGAGTAAAGAGAAGTTCATGATTTTGACTACGCTTTGGTTTTGATTTCTTTCTATACGTTACAATACTCTTATTGTGATAAAACAATATGCGAGATCGTAAATTGCAAGAAAATAAATCACGAGAAAGTAAATTGCAATAAAATAAAAATTATTCAAAGTGCGCGAAAATTATTTTTACTCTAAGTGAGGAAAAAAGAATTAAGCTAGGTGCTAAAAAATAATTTGCGGAAATAGGCTACATTTTGAATAGATGAAAACACGCAAGGGTGCAAAGAAACTAAAACGATATGTTGAACGTGTTGGCCGGGGCCGGACCCCTAACAATGACCTAGAAAATCATTTGTATACTAGTTGAGACATCCAATTCTTAATGTCTTCTCTTGATTTCCTCCTCATCTTTGATTCACTTTCGTTACAAATTCAAAATATACTTGGCTTCTTTGTCTTCAATATTTTTGCAATCAATTTCCTCCTTGAAAATCATGGCTGACTTGAGTAATTATTACTCCATTCAAGGTGACGACATGCCATGTAGAAGGTGTCAAATATGGGTCCAAACAGGCTCACTCATGGGAGAGATTTTTCAATGTGATCGTTACACGGGGTGGTACACCACGTGTCACTATACAAATAGTGGGATATGTGTGTTAAAAAGTTAATAACTTAAAAAAGTAAAATTTCTTACCACTTCTATTAAAATACGAGGTATACCACTTGTGTTCCCGTCACAACTAAAAATTTCTCCATTCATGGGAAGGGAGCCAAGAAGTGCCCATAAATCTGCGGTGTTGCTTTACATTCTATTTCACTTTAGCCTCCGGGTCCGGGTGTGTTTGGTTTTTCTTGTATTGAAATTAAATTATAAGCTTTGACAACTTGTACGTACTGTTGTGGACTTGAGCGACTTGACTAAAAAAATTTATGGACGAAACTACGAAAATACTTTTCTAAGGTAACAAGAACTATCTCTGCACCTTCCTAACCGTGTTTTCTTTTAGTTTTATCATGGGTAGTTGAGAAGGTTTCATACTTGAAATGATTTGTTTGGTATTTTTATTGGATCCAATACTTTTCTTTTTCAAACCAATGAGTATTTGAATACCATAAATTAGCTTCAAATTGGATACCACCCTTAAATAATTTAAATTAACTTCCAACAAGACATCAAAGAGGTGACTAAAGAGAGGAAGAAAGAAGCAATATATGGACACCGTCGGCCGGTTTCTACTTCATATTACTTTGTTCTTGTGGTTTATGACTGCAGTAGAAAGAGCAGCAACTTTAGCACCCGTATCAAAGCCTAATTGTTCATCGCATTGCGGTCAAGTCGCTGAAATCCCGTATCCTTTTGGAATTGGAACCGGTTGTTACCTTGATGATTGGTTCCAAATAATCTGCGACAACTCCACCAGCCCTCCAAAACCTTTCTTGAACTCTACCGGTCTAGAGGTGCTCGAAATCAATATTGAAGGCACACTAAAGGTGGCAAGCCCGGTTACCTTCTCCAATTGCAGTCACAAGCCATCAGGCCGCCAGACAGCAAACTTAGAGGGAAGTCCTTTTGTGTTCTCCCAGAAGAACAGATTCACTTCAATGAGTTGTGGAGGAATTGGCTTGATGACATCCTTATCCGGATCAACAATTGGAGGCTGCTTGTCCATATGTGACGATACTAGTAATGTTTTAAGAAATAACAGTTGCAGTGGGCTGAATTGCTGCCAGACCACCATTCCTTCATCTCTTAGCACCTTCCGTACTAGTTTCGGTGAAATAACAAACGCGGAGAGAGCAAAATTATGCAAGTATGCATTCCTAGTAGACCAAGATTGGTTTACATCAGATTCAACAAATATTTCTGACATTGGTCACATGGACAATGTCCCCATAGTTCTGGAATGGAACTTATTTAACTATACGACTTTCGATATATATGGAACGACAAATTCAACAAATTCGACAGATATGGATTGCACCGGAGGAAGTTGCTTCTGCTCAAAGGGCTTCCAAGGAAACCCCTATCTTCTTCATGGATGTGAAGGTAAAACCTCTAGCTACAATTGTCCGAAATTTGTATATAATACATGCACAAATTGAATTTCCTTTTGACGTCTTCAATACGATAGATTTATTAGTATTTAAACCACTTTTTATGTGGCAATGAGAATAAGTCTTCAGGCACAAGGATCCTTAGCTAAATGATCTCTTGCAATTAAATTTTAGATATCGATGAATGTGAGGATCCAGTCCACTTCAACAGATGCATTCCCGGCTTTTGTATTAATTACCCCGGAAGGTATCAGTGCGTATTCCCCGATCCACGACAGTCACAAGTTAATCTGGCCATCATAGGTATATGCTCCTGCACTATCATAAACTATAATATCATTTTACTATTGATGAACTAAATTTAAAAACTGAACCTGAAACGTTCTTGACAAAAGTTTTGTATCCTTTCTTGTTTTATTGAGCTACTCAGTTACCGGCACTGTTGTTGGACTATTGTTTCTACTAGTTGGTGCATGGTGGTTGCGCAAAGTCATAAAGAAAAGAAAAAATATTAAACGCAAAGAGAAGTTTTTTAAGCAGAATGGTGGTCTACTGTTGAAACAGCAATTATCTTCAGGTGAAGTCAATGTTGAAAAGATTAAGTTGTTCAATTCCAAGGAGTTAGAGAAAGCCACGGACAATTTTAGTGCTGACAGAATTCTTGGTCAGGGAGGCCAAGGTACTGTTTATAAGGGAATGCTGGCGGATGGAAGAATAGTTGCTGTCAAGAAATCGAAAATAGTTGCAGGAGGTGAAGTTGGGCAGTTCATTAATGAAATTGTCATTCTTTCACAAATTTCCCACAGGAATGTGGTTAAACTATTGGGGTGTTGTTTAGAGACCGAAGTTCCCCTTTTGGTTTATGAATTCATACTCAATGGAACACTTTCTCAGTATATTCACCACCAAAATGAAGAGTTCCCCCTTACATGGGAAATGAGGTTGCGAGTTTCCATCGAAGTTGCAGGAGCTCTTTCCTACTTACATTCAGCAGCTTCCTTTCCCATTTACCACCGCGACATCAAGTCTTCTAACATACTCTTGGATGAAAAATACAGAGCCAAAGTAGCAGACTTTGGGACTTCAAGATCAGTTGCCATTGATCAAACTCACCTTACGACACGAGTACATGGAACATTTGGTTATCTGGACCCAGAGTACTTCCAATCTAGCCAATTTACAGAGAAGAGTGATGTTTATAGCTTTGGAGTGGTCCTTGCGGAGCTCTTGACTGGAGAAAAACCAGTTTCAGTTTTGAGTTCACAAGAAAGCAGAAGCCTAGCAACTTATTTCCTTCTTTCTATGGAGGAGAATCGTCTATTTGATATTCTTCATGCTCAAGTAATGAAGGAGGCTGGGAAAGACGAGATTATGGCAGTTGCTAACCTTACACAGAGGTGCTTGAATTTGAATGGGAAGAAGCGACCTACCATGAAAGAAGTAGCAGCGGAGTTGGAGGCAATTCAATTGTCAGTTAAATTTTCTAATGTGCAACAAAATTTTGCAGAAGTTCATTATGTTCGAAGTGAAATAACCGAGCCTTGGGATGTTGTTTCTATATCAACAGCTTCTTGTATGGATAGTGGCACAGCCTCTTCATTGGATGTACAACCACTATTGTCCTTCAAGTCATTGTGAGGAATTATTTCTTCTAATGAAACAATGTGGTCTAAAAAAGTTGTCACTCTAGCATTGCAATGTGGTCTAAAATTATTTCTTCTAATGAAACAATGTATCTATAATTTCAACTTTCCATCCCCTTTCTTATATGAATCTTTCACATTTTAACATCTTTTTTCTTTCGAATGTTTTGAGCTTGATCGTGCAGTAAGGTAGTTTGGAGGTTAATTTAAGCTGTGGCAACTGGAAGTGGATGGCAATCTGTTGTGGCTTATGTCAACGTAGCTTGTTAATATATAATTGTTCCCATCGTATCAGATGTGTTCTTCGCTTCAAAACTAGTATGGGAGTGGCAGTAAGTTCAACCTCTCCTACTCTCTAGGTCGTTACTACATAATATCTGTAAGTTGTTTGTATTATAGGCATCAAAATGTTTCACCCATGTCTTTGATAGTTGTAATAGGCATCACCGGCCAAGACATCCGGTTTTTAGGTGCGAAAGCCTTCGGTTTTACACCTTTACTTCCTAGTTTTGTTTTGCTTAATGAGCTAAGTATTGGAAGTGATCTAATCATAATGAAATTACTTGGTTTATGCAGTGTTTGAGTTAGTAGCGAGCTGTTGGAAGTTAATTTTGATTCAAGCTTGTTTAATTTTAGTCTTAAAGTTGGCTTAGGTGGCAAGAAGAGTAGTAACGGCTAGTTTTTTAAATATCCTTTGAAGAGTCTTTTGCCTGTTGTGTAATCCATAGTACTGGACACTTGCATGCTCTAGATTAGGGATGTGTTGTAAGGTCCAGATGAGTGTGCACAGCTGTGTCCTCAAGGGCAATGTACCCGAAGAGGAATAGGTCTAAGATGCCTTCTGTGAATTGGAATGCATTCCAAAGGAAAAAAGTTGTAGTTAAGTAACAACAATGTCAAGTGCTCAAGGATACAAATTTACCTCAGTAGATGCAATTCTGGTTATCGGCGCAAGCCTTTCGACATTGTGAAGGCAAAAGTTAGAAATCGTACCGGTTCTTTATCTATGCACAATCACAATTTTTGTACTCAAAATATAGTTGATGTATGTGTTCCTGCAGTTGTAATCGTTTAGACTATTAATTACCTTATACCTCTCGGTTATGTGAAAGAAAAAATCACCTAGCTTGAAACCACTCTTCAAGTCCTGATGAATGTTCTTCTCGGTTATGTGAGACCCAAATGGGTGACACATCATCAAGCTAATAGTTTTTTAACAGAGGTTGAGGGCAAGGACCAATGATACACATTTTATTAAATTTAGGAATGCAAATTAACGAAATTTTAGTTCAAGAACGAATTCTAAACTCAAGTGCAAGTTCAAGGACAAATTCTATATTTTACTCGTTGATATTTTGTAGCTGCCTTATAAAATCACCATGTGGATAACATAATTCAGCTTTTCTTTACCAAGTCACCTAAATATTTTCAACTGGTCAAAGTCTGGCTGCTAGCTTTTGGTTTATTTATTTATTTTGAAAAGTATGGTGTTCGGGAAGGTATGGCTACTAGAAACATGAATGATAAATGAACTTTGACTTAGCCTCCAAGGACTCAGGAAAGTTTCAAGAATACATGAATTAGTATGCTTCTGAAGACAATTCATCCTTGATTACTAGTATAGATTAATGCAAAAAACCAAACAGCAGGAAGGGAGGAAAGAACTTTCTCTGAACACAATATATAAAGAGAAATATCTATTTATGTACCTAGAACAATTAGAAGAAGAAGCAGAATAATGGATTTTTTACAGTTTCGATTTCATATTACTCTATTATTTTTGTTTACGAGTAGTGCAGTGCTAGCAGTACCATTATTAGCAAAGCCTAATTGCCAATCACGTTGCGGAGACGTTGAAATCCCGTACCCTTTCGGAATTGGAGCAGGCTGTTACATTGACGACTGGTTTCAAATAACATGTGTCAACTCAACCAAACCTTTCTTGAACAACATCGATCTAGAGGTGCTAGAAATTTCTGTTAAGGGTACACTAAAGGTTGTAAACCCAATTACGTTCTCTTCCAACTGCGGTACTAATAAGCCTATTCGCCAATCGGCCAACTTGGAGGGAAGCCCTTTTGTGTTCTCCCAGAAGAACATATTCACTGCAATGGGTTGCGGCGTTATGGCCATGATCACTTCAAACTCAAATGGCTCTACCGTTTCAGCCGGCTGCAAGTCCGAATGTGACAATATTTCAACAAATGTGAAAAAGAATGGAGTTTACTTCTGCCAGACCCCCATCCCTTGGTTTCTCTCTGCCTTCACTACTGCTTTCCAGGTTTATGATGATTATACAAAAAGTACTAATTCATGCAGTTACGCATTTTTGGTAGACCATGACTGGTTTCAGTGGTTTCTCAACAATTCAACAAAAAATATTTCTACCATCAGTGACATGGACAATGTCCCTGTCATGCTAGACTGGAACTTATATCATTCGACGGTCGATGTATTTGGAGTCATGGTAAAAGTAAATCCGAGATCTTTGGGTTCCGAATCATCCTTCTATTGCCAAAGTCATAATGACAGCTCCTCAATACATGAATCCTCATTCAGGCTGGAATGTTTCTGCAATTGGGGCTATGAGGGAAATCCCTATCTCCCACAAGGATGTCAAGGTAAACAATTCTAATTTATAATTTTATAAATCAACAAACACCATCCTTCTTTGTTAGTCTACCTTCTCTACTTTCCATTTTGATTTTATTGAGCAGGAAATTTACAACATTATTAACTTTTCTTTTTCAATACAAAATATTGCAGACATAAATGAATGTGAGGCTGGGAACCATTGTACTGGAGGCTCCATATGTAAGAACCATGTTGGGTATTATGAATGCTACCCACCACATAGAAATTCTTGGCTTAAAGTGGTCTTTATAGGTATGCCCTTGTCTCCCCACACTACGATATGTAAAATATAATCTGCTTTCTTCTATGGTAACTTTTCTTCTTATTTACAAAACACAAAGATTGTTTGTGCATGAAGTCAGTTCTTTATAGATCGATATTGTAATGATAACATAGAAAATATGTCGATAACATGGTTTTATAATTTGTTGTCAACAACGATATCGATGGCATTATCGACAACCAGTTTCCAGACTAATATGCATTGCAAATATTGCAAATAGCTATCCCTTTACCTTTATAAAAAGAAATAAAAATCTTCTTGACCTGGTTAATATTCTTATGTTACTCAGCTATATTTTCAGGTATCGGCATCGGTCTTGGGCTATTGTTTCTACTCGTTGGTGCTTGGTGGTTGTATAAAGTCGTTAGAATTAAACTCAAGGAGAAGTTTTCGCAACAAGATGGCAGTTTATTGATGGAACTACAGCATTTATCTTCTGGTGAAGTCAACTTGGATAATTAAAAATGTTCAAATTAGTTTACGAGTTAGAATTTATTATACATATAGAGTTTATAAAGGAATTGTTTGTTTGTCAAATGGAAGAATTTAAAAAGTCTAAAATAGTTTGTGGAGGCTAATTTAATTTAGAAGCCAATGGAAATGAAATTTCATTTTCAGTCCTCAATTTTTAATTCTATTTCTTTTGATAAAAGAAAACTGAATTTTTTTCTTTTTTTTATACCAGTAGCATTGGGAAGGGGAATTCGAAGTTAAGACCTCGGATGCAAATATAAGCTAATACCAAATAAGAACGGACCTGTGCCCACTCTTTTAAACACGGGGCTTGTCCACCATAATCTTGAGTATTTTTCCCTTTGGTTTTAATAGAAAAAGAAAATTTTTGTCTATTCATAAAATAAAAATATTAGTTTTAAAGGCTTGTCATTCAAGCAAATGTGAATATTTTTTTAGTATTTTTCTTATATTTGAGAGTTTCGAACCCTAAATCTAGTTTGCTCCAACCACTAAAGTAGTTAAAAGTATAACCCTGCATCAAAAATACTATGTAAGTTCAATTCCCCCACCCCAATATCATTTGTGTACAAGAAAAAGAAAGCAGAAGGTCGTCTTCTTGCAAAGCTCGTGGCGTAGCCTCCAGTTGCACCACCAGAAACGTTGGTACCCCCGAGGAAGCCTGATGCCAGTCTTACCTCGAAGGTTAGCTTGGCAAAGAATATCAAATTTGGCTCCTCATTTCGACAGTTTTTTCATATTTTCCATCTTAAGAGTGAGATCATGTAATCTGATAACCTTATACAATATTTTTAAAATATTTTAATTTCATACGTTTAGTTATATTTTCCTTTCAGTTTCATATATCTATTAAAAAATCTGTTAATTTAACCGTTAAATGATGACAACACAGGTAGAATTCACATTTGTACTGACTGTTAACTTTGCACCATGTGAATAAAAAATGATTATTTAATAAAAAATCAATCTATATTATAATTAAAAACTAAAAAAAAATTGAAAAGGGTATCTGGACAAGGCTTAGCCCGATAACCCCATCTCTTCCTCCTACCAATGATGTAGCCGTCAATCACCCTCTTCCTCCTCTCCCTCTACCTCACCTCCCGCCACCACTTCCGGGCCTAGAAGGCCCAGCCCAAGCCCGCCGCCGCCGTCCAGCTGGTTCCGCCGAACTACATCCACCACTGCGAGGTTCGATTTCTTCCCGAGTTCTTCGATTCTTGCTCGAACTCGACGGTTTTCGAGTGGAGCGGCTGCAGCAATTTCGCCCATTGGACCCCTGTGCGATTCTGAAGCCGACGATGTCAATCTTGGTGAGATGGATGCATCGTCGTCGTTAAATCTAACGAAGAAGAATGATATTTGCATGTGGGTTTTGCTGACGAGTTTTCAAGGGGGTTGAGAGTGAGAAATTGGGTGTGTGGGATTTGTTAAGAAATTGAAATTTCATGGTGCTAAATGCTAGAGGGATTGTGGGGTTTGGACCTGGGAGGGATTTGAAGGTGTTTCCATGGAAGATGGAGATGCGGAGAGAGGCGTAGCTGGAGAAAGAAGAAGGGAAGGTTACGTTTTTAATTTTTAATTTTTTTAATATTTAATTATTTTGGATAGCCACATCATCAAAATATATTAATTTTATATTTACTGCGCTTTCAATTAACTGTTTGACTAACGGATGTATGAAATTGCAATAAAATGATAAATCTTGAATAAAATTGAAATTTTTTAAAAATGTTGTATGAAGTTTCAATAGCATCGTAAAATGTAATTTATCTTTTTTTTTTCTTTGTTCTAATTTTTTAGAAGCTGGAAATTAATCACATTTTAAAACAAATATTTGATTGATCCCTCCGATCCTTCTCACATACTTTCATGATTTTTCTTCAGTTTGACTGATATTTTTATAATTTGAATTTTGACTATATTTATTAGCATATTTTCAGCATTTCGCTAGAAAGTCACCAAAATTTTAGGGCTACTAGAAAATATGGTGCAGAAGCAGAAAATACAAAATTGAAAAATTATTTGAGAAAAATCAACATCACTCATCTTCTCTTCTGTTATAGTGAACTCGTCAAAGTCAGACTAGAAATGGATTGGCAACAAAGAAAGAACTGGTCTGGAATTTTAGAATGCTGGAGAATTTTATTAACCTGCTTGAAATGTTCCATCTATCGTGGAAGGTGCAGAGAAATCAGCAGGAAGGTGCTGAGGACTAACTATATATCTATGCACTTTTACTTGTATTTTGAAGAAGGTTGAGAGTTGGTGAGCTTACAACTAGAAACCGCCGGTATAGGTAAACAGAATACGAAAAATAACCAGAATGGTTGTCAAGTTGCTAACTCATATTATTCTGTTTACACTGTTGCTGCAGTTACTAGCAGTATCATCATCACAGAAACCGCCCATAGCAAAGCTTAACTGTCAGTCTCATTGTGGAGACATTGAAATCCCGTATCCCTTTGGAATTGGGGCAGGTTGTTTCATTGACGACGACTGGTTCCAAATAATCTGTGACAACTCTACTGGCAATCCCACTCCTTTCTTGAACCGTGCTAATCTGGAGGTCCTCAATATTTCTGCTGAAGGAGGTACGCTAAGGGTCACAAACCCGATCACCTTCTCAAATTGCAGCAACAAGCCAATCAACCGCCAGACGGCCAACTTGGAGGGCAGCCCTTTTGCGTATTCCACCGAGAACGTGTTCACTGCAGTTGGTTGTGGTTTTATGGCCACGATCACCTCAAACTCAACTGGCTACTCCATTTCAAGTGGATGCAAGTCCGAGTGTGACAATTCCATAAATAAGAGTAACGGTACCAGGCATAATGTATGCAACGGTGTGGACTGCTGCCAGACAGCCATCCCTTCATTTCTCTCTGCTTTCAATACGAGTTTCCAGCGTGATGACGACAATACACGAAGTTCATGCAATTACGCATTCTTGGTAGACCGCGAATGGTTTCAGGGGTATGCCAACAATTTAACAAACACTTCTGCCATCAGCGAAAGGGACAATATTCCTGTGGTGCTTGAATGGAAAATGTTTCATTCCACAACTGAAGTGTTTGGAACCTCTTTGGAAGTAAATGCAACGATGACAAGCGAGGACCCAATCCGGCCTCAGTGTGATAGCTACAATGACAACTCTTCCGCATATGGATCCTCAAGGCTTGAATGTACCTGCGGAGGGGGCTTTGAAGGAAATCCCTATCTTCTCGACGGATGTCAAGGTAAACTCGAATACCATTTTCAATGTTTAAAGTTCTTTTCTTTGTGTTTGGAATGAGTTAGTAGGTGATTGATGATCAATTTAATTTTTTTCAATACACATTAATCCAGACATCAATGAATGTGAGGTTGGCAAGCATGAATGTCCCGAGCACCTAGTTTGTGTGAATATTCCTCACGGGTACGCATGCATGAATCCTCCGAAGAGCAAATCTCCGGTCAGAGCCGTCATTATAGGCATGTCCCGGCACTATACAGTATAATTTTCTGATTTAATAATGCATAATCTAGAATTAACAAAATGATTTGGAATTTTGAAGAGCAAAATAAGCAACCATAAATATAACAAATCTCCGCAAATGAAAAAAGCGAAATAATCTTTGCTTATATATATATATATGTATGTATGTATGTATGTATGTATGTATATACACTATCCTTTCTTATCTTCTTTAATTATTCAGGTATCGGCAGTGGTCTTGGATTCTTGTTACTGCTCCTTGGTGCCTGGTGGTTGCATAAACTCATAAAGAAAACAAAAGCCATTAAACGCAAGAAGAAGTTCTTTGAACAAAATGGTGGTATACTATTGGAGCAACAACTGGCGGCTGGTGAAGTAAATGTTGAGAAAATTAAGTTGTTCAATTCACAGGAGTTAGAGATAGCCACAGACCATTTTAACATCGATAGAATTCTTGGCCAGGGAGGCCAAGGTACTGTTTACAAAGGAATGTTGACGGATGGAAGAATTGTTGCTGTAAAGAAGTCTAAATTAGTTGATGGGGGCGAAGTTGCGCAGTTCATTAACGAAATTGTCATTCTTTCGCAAATTAACCACAGGAATGTCGTTAAACTGTTGGGTTGCTGTTTAGAGACAGAAGTGCCTCTCTTGGTTTATGAATTCATACCGAAAGGGACTATCTACCAATATCTCCACGAAGAAAATGAGGAGTTTTTATTTACGTGGGAAATGCGCTTAAGGATTGCTGCTGAAGTTGCAGGAGCTCTTTCATACTTACATTCAGCAGCAGGTTTTCCAATTTACCACAGGGACATCAAGTCTACAAACATACTCTTAGATGATAAATACAGAGCAAAAGTTGCAGATTTCGGGACTTCAAGATCGGTTTCCATTGACCAAACCCACCTCACCACAATAGTACATGGCACCTTCGGGTACTTGGACCCAGAGTACTTCCAATCAAGTCAGTTTACAGATAAGAGTGATGTGTATAGCTTTGGAGTTGTCCTTCTTGAGCTATTGACTGGGGAAAAATCTGTTTCTCTAACAAGGTCACCAGAAATCAGAGGCCTAGTTACATATTTTAATTTTACAATGGAAGAGAATCGTCTGTTTGATATTATTGATGCTCGAGTTAAGGAGGAGGGTGCAACGGAAGACATATTGTCAGTTGCTAACCTCGCAAACAGATGCTTGGATATGAGTGGAAAGAGACGGCCTACGATGAAAGAAGTGGCAATGGAGTTGGAGAGGATTCAAAAATCGGTCAAGTCTTCTAATAATCTGCAACAAAATTACGATGAGGTCGAATATGTTAGAAATGAAGTAACTGGTCCTTGGGATGTTACATCGACAGGGTCGTGTTTGGCTGGAGGTACTACTGCGTCAAAAGATTCACTACCACTACTATCTTACTGATCACGACGACCAGCAATTGGTGGAAACTGGAGATTTCCCTGATCTTGTTTTCGAAGCAAGAAAATTTTTTTTTTTTCTGGTTTTAATCGACTTGTTTAGTGGTGTCTGTATGCTCCGATTGTTCTTGATGTTTTATGTGCTAATAATTTTGACGTGTCCGACAGTTTTAGCTTCTCTGCACAAACTGTTATTAGCAGTCTGAAAAAGTCGTATTTTCTAGACTCTTCCTGTTTAAATAATCTAAATCCTAGTATGCTATTGTGTTGTCCACTTCTATGCGGTTTAGTTTTCTGTTTAAATTTCCACCACCAGTAATCAGAAGAAGGGTGACATTTGGCAGCCTATTTCCCTTGGCTGTCAAATGTCAAGGGGCAGTTGGCTGAGAACTTTCACAGTCAAGCTTCAAAATTGGTCTGCTTCCAAATGTTTGAATCAATCCTAGAAAATAAAGGAAAATTACACAACTTAAAAACTTTTAAAAATAATAGGAAGATCAAAGTTTGGAAATTAATGGAAAGGGAAGAAAAGTCTGGTAAAACTTCCTTAAGACAAATTATCTTATTGCCATAGTTGCTTTTGTGGGGTTTGGGTTTTTTTGTCCCCCCACCCCCCGGTCTTTGTACTACCTTTTTCTTCTTCATTAGTTTGATAAGCATAAGAGGACCCTTTTATTTAAAAAAGGGCTAAATTGGATTAATGGTTTCCGTGGTGAGAGGGTAATCGAAAGATAGCCCCGCGATGAAAAAATTCGGATTTAAACCCTCGTGGTGAACTCCGTTAGGATTTAAACCTAAAATTAACATCTCCCTCATTTGTCTGTTAACCCATTCAACTTTCATAACCAAAAGAGAAAAAAAACTCATTCATCCAAGTATTATAACATATTGAAAAATTAAAGTATTAACCAGTCTCTTATAATTTAATACATAAAATCCAAAATTTAAAGTCATCGATTTTCTGTCTAAATGAGAGTTGCGACTTGGGGGTGCCTAGACGGGCTAGGCGGATGCCTAAGGAGGTCTAGACACCCTTTCTTAATTTTCAAATGCCTAGGAATTATTCAGGACAGTGGCTAGCCGCCTAGCACCTAAGCGGGGCCTAGGTGGCGCAAGGCAAGAGTTTTTAGAACAATGCTCTGGGGAGATTTAGAGAACATGTGAGTAGTGTGAAATCCCATCCCCGGATTTCAATGTTTAAAATTACGTATTTCGTATTCTTATTCGTAGTTTTGACACGTTTGTATTTGTGGCGTACAAATTTTTCGATAAGTAAAATGATGAAAACGCCTTTAATGAACTAAACGGAATTTTCACGGATGTATTTGATTCTTTCATGATTTTCTAGATTTCATTACATATTTGGATAGTACGTGTCGATACAAACGCGTGAGCACAAACGGATTGTAATTTGAAGTTACAACGAAATAGTTATTAATGAATGAAATTGAGGGCAAAATGGTCATTTGACCATAAATCTGGAAGGTTACAGATTTTGTTGGAGCAGTGCGATGGAGCCACGTGTGTGGCTGTGATGGAAATAAGAGAAGAGAAATGATGTGTGGAACTGCCCAATCAAGAACTAGAGAAAGGAGAGAAAGGAGAAGATGGAGGAACACTGAATCCTTAACCCATTTTCGACCAGAAAGACCTAGCGCCCAACCCGGACACCTTACGTGATTTCTGACTCAGATTTCGGCATTTCCCCATTGAATTGTTCATCGCCACCACCTGCACTGGACTCCACGACCCTTCCTTTACCAATTCCACAGCAAACCCGATGAGATTTGGCCACCTTTCGTGGTACATAGAACCCACGGGTTCAAGAACCCTTCGCCGGCGATCCACTGTTTCTGAAATGTTCTCCATCAATCACCAGCACCCTCAGGTGTCTCTTGAGCCTAGAAACAAACCCCAAACAAGTTTAGGGGCGACAGAGCTTTGAATTCGACCGATCGAGGTTCACCCATTTTTCTGGGTTTCTGACAATTCGAGGGATTTTTTTGGCTACTTCCCAGCCGAACTGGACTTCGGCCCATGTATGAAAAATGTTTCCCCCATTGAGTTGTACATTTTTGCAAAATTTGGTGAATTTTGGAGTTGGTCAAAATTTGTGGTTTCCGTTCACTAGAAACCGCCACCTGCAGTGACACATACGGTGGCGCGTGGTCAGTGGGTCGACACTACCTTTTTAAGTTAAATTCAATGTCCTGATTTCAGATTTGATATCCGTTTGATGTGGTTCAATACTTTGAACCTATTATTGAATATTACACCACTTGATCATTTTATGATTTGACGATTCGACCGTTGGATTGTCACTCAACTTTAATACGTTATAGTACATAATATTTGAGGACGTTAAAAACTGACAAATTGGGAATCTGATGTACACATCTTCCCAAATTGGATTTCTAAGTTTGTAAAATTAAACATTGACTGCCACTTATTCTTATGATTGGCGGAGATCCAACTGATGGATCGTAATGAAATTTTAGTATGTTGTTCTGGTTTCCTGCTGTCTCGATTTCGTTGAGTGGTCCGGAATCCCACGTGATCTGCAATTCCGTTAAGTGGTTCGGAATCGTATCCAGCTTGGATTTCATTGAGTGGTTCGGTCCCAAGCCTGTGAAAGTTTATCTTCTATTGCCGACCCCAAGCCCGAATAAAGAAAGAGTTGGACTCTGTCAAGTAGTCAACAGCCAAAACTCATTTTTCATGATGAATTCTTATGATCTAGATGTTATAATCTGATCATATGATTTCCAAAAGTTATGGGATTGACTGATGATTCCTCCATTCTATCTTGAACAACTCTGATGAAATTTCTTTCTTTTTTATTTTGGCCGATATTTTAATTTGAATTTGAATTATGTTCATTAGCATACTTCAACCTTTCACTATCAAGTATGAGTACTATACCAAATGATGCAGAAACAACATGAATTAGACAATAAAATAAGAAAATCTTGACAATACTTCTATCTGTAATAATACTTTTACGGCCCTCCTAAAAAGAAGATATCTGCGGTGAAACCAGTGGTTACAGGTACACCTCTGTCCCCTCAGTTGACCTGAAATAACTTTCAGTGGATTCAAAATGAGAAAATTCTGAACAGTTCACTAAATTTCTCAAGAGATTAGCTGAAGAATTGGGTACTTTTTTGTAACATGTATTGATTTATGTAGATATTGGTGCAAGCTTGGGGCTATGACTCCTTCTTGCTGCTCTATGGTGGTTATACAAGGTAGTGAAGAAAATAAATAACAGTAATTGCCGAGAGAAGTTCTTCAAACAAAACGGTGGCTTATTGCTCGAAGAACAATTGAGTTTCGGTGAAGTCAATGTTGAGAAAATAAAATTTTTTGAACCAAAGGAGCTAGAGAAGGCCACAAATCATTTTAATGTGAACAGAAAACTTGGCCAGGGAGGCCAAGGTACCGTTTACAAAGGAATGTTGACAGATGGAAAAATTGTTGCAGTAAAAAAGTCCAAGGTGGTTGATGAAGGGAAACTTAGAGGCCTTTCATTAACAAGATTGTCATTCTTTCCCAGCTTAACCACAGGAACATGGTTAAGTTATTCGGGTGTTGTTTGAGGATAAAGTTTCTTCTACTGGTGTATGAATTTGTTCCAAACGGTACCTCTTTCGAGTATATCCACAAAGATAATGAAGAGTTTCCGCTTACGTGGGATATGCGCTTAAGAATCGCCACTGAGGTCACTGGAGCCATTTTCTACCTACATTCATCAGCTTCCATTCCCATTTATCATTGCTATACTAAGTCCACAAACATATTTTTAGACGACAAGTATAGAGCAAAAGTAGCTAATTTTGGAACTTCAACATTTTTCCATTGATCAAACTCATGTGACCACACAAGTACAAGGCACATTTGGATACTTGGATCCAGAGTACTTCCAATCAAGCTGGTTCACAGAAAACTCCAATGTTTATAGCTTTAGAGTTGTCCTCGTTGAGCTCCTGACTAGTCAAAATCCTATTTCATTCACAAGATCAAAAGAAGGGAGAAGTCTAGCCACATACTTCATTCTTAGAATTGAAGAAAATCGTTTGTTTGATATCGGTTGATGTTTAAGTTACGAAGGAGGGAAATAAAGGACAGGTTGAGGCAATTGCTTGCCTTGCAAGAAGATGCTTAGACTTGAATGGAAAGAGATGCCCCTCAATGAAAGAAGTTGCAATGGAGCTAGAGGAAATTCAAAATGGACAAATTCTGGATTACGTCCGAATTTTCTATCGTTCAAAAGTTCTTGCTAAAAGTCCATAATCTACTTCGGCCCAAAGCTAAAGGACCACAAATATGTTTTGATTGGGAAACCTGGTCCACCCCAGCTTTTAGCATTTGTGGAAAGCGAGATGACTTTCACAAATCATTTTTAGCCTCTTACGCATTCGTATAATTTAATTCTGTTTGACTTGGTGAATCTGGTGGTTAGAAATAAAAGGAATATGTGAGTTCTATGGGTGAAAATCAGTTTCCTTGTGAATGCCCACAATTTTTCTCATCAAGCAAATTCTTTTAATTTTTTCTATATTTGTTTAAACTCTAAAGATGATATGTTTTGTACCTGTATTTGTTTATTTTTCTATGGTTGTTCTGCTTATTTTATACCTGTTTCTATTGAACAATCTTTGATTGATCAAAATGAAAATTTTGAAGCCATTTTATAAATGAGGTTTCTTATACATATTTTCCTAATTTTATATTGGAGGTAGATTTGTGACAACACTTTTTTACACAAAATTTGACACATTTTGTAAGGTCCATTTCATAACGTATTTCAACGATCCGAAGTTTATATTTTAGAACATCATTCATAGAGCATAGTGGTAAAAAATTAGATATCCGAAACTATTAAGACATTCATTTGTAGTGAAGAAAATGGACGAATACAGTTTTACAAGGAAACACTAAATTTAATTCAAGAGTCATATTGTTTCGGGTCTGGTTGATTTTGAGTGCACATGATACTTGAAAAAAGACCTAAAAGATATGCTTGCATCATTGAAATACATTACGGAATGGATCCTACAAAAACTTGTGCAAAAAATTATGTGAAAAAAGTAATATCACGTATCTGCCATGTGTGTATGTGCATATATATATATATATATATATATATATAAGCATGATGTTATACAAAAAAATTCAGCATAGATTATAAATGGAAAAGAAAAGAACATAGAGGTCCTTCCAAAAACTAGTTGGATTTGTAAAACCCATTCAATATAATAATGGTTTGTGAGACCATAATTCAAATATAATTTCTACAAAAATGCCACGGTCAACATGGCATCTAAGGTTTCAAAGTACACAGGAGTTGTGAAGTGAAGGTGCTAAGGTTACGGCCCCCTTTAAACCCCTGATCACAACTACCAATTGCTAAACCCTACCTAATCAGAAAGAAAATGCAGTTTAAAAAAATGGGTGCTGACCTTACCATGTACACGTGCTTACTTAACCCACCTTTGGATCGAAGCATCGTCACACCTTTCCCCCAAAAGTATCATTGTCCATCGAGCTCTAAGACAAATTCAATGCGGTATTCAAAATAAATGGATTTGACTTTAGTAACCCCTTTCCAAACTCATATAGTGAATTACCCTGTTTCGCAATAGCTGGATTGTTTTAGTAGTTTTGTTTTACTGCAATCCGATTTAAAACTCTTCTCCTTGTAGATCAATGTAGATATCTTAATAAAAATAAATAAAAACCTTGGTTCCAAATATAACATTCTTTTTACTAAAAATATCTTATCTTATCATCAATATTGTATCAATTTACTATTAACTCGATGCTATATATCATTATTGTATTTATATCCTTTCAGTAGTAGCGATAAAGTGCATATTAGCGATCGAAAACAAGGCTAATTTAAGTTGGTGGTTTTGTAAACTAAAGCCAATTTCCCACAAACCGAAAAAAAAAAAAAAAAAAAAAAAAGCTTAAAAAAAAGCTTAAAAAAAAGCTTAAAAAAAATTGAAGAAAAAAATTATAAGAAAATTGAAATGTCCAGTAACCTAATGACACTTTTCCTTTGAAAAGAAAAACCTGATGACATTGGGATCATCTGAGAAGTCGCATCGAATTCAAGCTTGTATTTAGGCAACACTGCCTTGGAATGTGAATATTTGAATTATTTAATTTCGAAAAATCAAATACATTTGACTTAGGTTTATGCATGGTTTGGTGAAACTAATTGACAAAAAAATAGGTAACTTATTTGCAACTAAACTTCTCTTGCTAAGAAAACACATGTATAAATATGTCCTTCATTAATCATACGTTCCATTTTTCTACCCTAGTTTCTCCTCTCTCCCTTCCATTTTCTACCCTAGTTTCTCCTCTCTCCCTTCCATTTTTCTACAAACTGTAACAGGGCATAAATATACATAATGCCACTACTCCTCCCAGGTAAAACACACACTCTCTCTCTCACAGTGTCATATCAAGTAGTGGTGGCTCAGCCGTCTGAGGTTACCATGGGGTCGCAGGAGGAGTACCAACCGCTACTCATCAGGCTCGATTCACACTCCCAGATACCTAACTTACATCGAAGTTTCAGGAGCTCTTTCCTACTTACATTCAGCAGCTTCTTTTCCCATTTACCACCGCGACATCAAGTCTTCTAACATACTCTTGGATGAAAACTACAGAGCCAAAGTAGCAGACTTTGGGACTTCAAGATCAGTTGCTATTGATCAAACTCACCTTACGACACGAGTACATGGAACATTTGGTTATCTGGACCCAGAGTACTTCCAATCTAGCCAATTTACAGAGAAGAGTGATGTTTATAGCTTTGGAGTGGTCCTTGCGGAGCTCTTGACTGGAGAAAAACCAGTTTCAGTTTTGAGTTCACAAGAAAGCAGAAGCCTAGCAACTTATTTCCTTCTTTCTATGGAGGAGAATCGTCTATTTGATATTCTTCATGCTCGAGTAATGAAGGAGGCTGGGAAAGACGAGATTATGGCAGTTGCTAACCTTGCACAGAGATGCTTGAATTTGAATGGGAAGAAGCGACCTACCATGAAAGAAGTAGCAGCGGAGTTGGAGGCAATTCAATTGTCAGTTAAATTTTCTAATGTGCAACAAAATTTTGCAGAAGTTCATTATGTTCGAAGTGAAATAACCGAGCCTTGGGATGTTGTTTCTATATCAACAGCTTCTTGTATGGATAGTGGCACAGCCTCTTCATTGGATGTACAACCACTATTGTCCTTCAAGTCATTGTGAGGAATTATTTCTTCTAATGAAACAATGTGGACTAAAAAAGTTGTCACTCTAGCATTGCAATGTGGTCTAAAATTATTTCTTCTAATGAAACAATGTGTCTATAATTTCAACTTTCCATCCCCTTTCTTAAATGAATCTTTCACATTTTAACATCTTTTTTCTTTCGAATGTTTTGAGCTTGATCGTGCGGTAAGGTAGTTTGGAGGTTAATTTAAGGTGTGGCAAGCAAAGATCACCAAGCACCAAGCACCAGGAAGGACCAAAGAGCTATCCTTGTGTTAGTATATCCTTGTCTACACAAATCTTCCTTGAGAAAAGTAAAGATCACCAAGCACCAGGAAGGACCAAAGAGCTATCTGCGAAACATAACAAATGAGAAAAACAAGGCCTGCACTTTTTTCCTCTTCTTTTACATGTTTTTGGTTGCCCTTTCCGCGCACGTGTCCTATTTTCTCACTTACCATTTCAATAAAAATGTTTTTTTTAGTATATCGATATTTTTACACTAGGAGGAGGGGGAGTTCGGCTAAACCACACGATGGACAACCTAATTCGGTATCGAATTCGCCATCCACGAGATTCGAATCTCAGACCTCTCACCTCTAAATGAAGAGGAATACCACCAGACCATAGTATGAGTGACATTTCAATAAAAATGTTAATGACAAGCTTATTGCATTGTTAAATGATATCTAAGGACCTGGTGGGCATAGAAACATTAGTACCCTCTTATACGAAACAAGGTTGAGAGTTGACTTGTCATTTCCCTTGTTTATTCCAACTTCCAAGGTTCACTGCAAACGGTGTGACACAATGTTACCCTAATTTCTCTGGTAATTGTTGTATTTTCAAATTCGAAAATCCCAGTTTTGACTCTTTAAAACTTGAGTTGACCTTTCTTTTTCAAAATTTTTTTTTTTAGCTTAGTTGTTCAAATCTTGTATTTTTTTTAATAGCGCTGAATTACATGAGATTTAAATGAAAACTATTAACGAAACAGAGTTAAAACAAAAAAGTTATGAGCATCGAAATTGAAGGGCATTTTGATCTTTTTCACTTACTATAAATAGTAAGTTTTTCATTTTGGAAACATGGAACTTGTCAGAAATAGAAAGTTCCAAATTTGGAAAAACCCAGACCTCAGCTACAACCCGTTTACCACCCCCCCCCCCCCACCAACCCAATTTACTTCGAAACAAGCTGACGCGGATTCTGGCCATCTCCTCTAGGATTAGTCGACACTACCTATGCAGAATTGAAGCCCTCACATGACACACCTCAACACTATGTCCAGCGAACATCAAAATTGAGACGTGTTGGACATCACCCGTATGGATCATGAAGCCATAACATGCATAAAAACATAGCTAAATTATCAACTAATAAAATCTATCGAAAATTCGATATAACTTCTCCTAAAATAAAGATAAGCCTAAATCAAACCCTTGCAGGTAATACATTTATTTCAACACATCCCCGAAGGGCCACAATTAATAGGTCTCCGACCTAGTTCAGAGCATAGTTGTCTAATACTAGTTTCACGGATAAAGCGGAGTAGGTAACCAACTCGATAAGGATGTGTGAGAGCCTAAAAAGATGCATCGATGTCCAATATGCTCACATCAATTGCTACTAGTTCCTAAGGGGGTGCAAAACAAGAAAATGTGAGTGGACGAAAAATAAAGTTTTCCAAAACTATTTTATTCTCTAAACATACTAACCCCTTATTTTGGAAACACATATAATACTATGTATCATTTTTGAAAGCCTAAGCATGCCATAAAAACTGAAAATTGATATATACATGTGTATACACTGCAAGTTGATAGTTACATATATGCTGAGCTAATCCTTACTGTTGGCATATCATACAATATTATCCACTAGTCATAGCTAGGGGAAGCTGGATAATATAATCATGTCATTGTCGAGTCTTGAAGCATGACAAGCTGAGAATATAACTGTGTAATTATGTCGTGGGCAAGCATATGGAGCCAAGCAATTGCCAGCAATGGGAATCATATGCCAAAGAGCAATCATGCATCGTGCTCTTGGGAGCAGCAATCCTCCTCGCATTTGTGTATTGGTGGTCAGGTCCAATCCTCGTAGCCCATCGGCCAATCAGAAGAAATTGCAGAGCGGGTTCAAATCTTTGCAAGAGGAATTGTCCCACAGCTATTTACGTTTGCCATAAACCGCCCCCAGCAGAGGTTTCTTCAAGCTCAGAACATAGTCAACCCTTCGGCTTACATGTCTATTGGAGTCTTCATCCTTCACATTCGTCTCACTTGGGGTGGTGTATTTTGTTGTGGATTATTGTCTAACTGGGGCTGCTCTTACGCTGAGCTTGTCTTGGTGGCTTCTTGTCATTATTTATGGGCTTTACATTCTTCTGAGCCCCAAGTGCAAGGAGACTTGGACTGGCTTCTCTTGGAAATCTTTCAAAGGGTTGTGGCCTCATTTTAAGTTGACTTCTATCATGCTCTGGTAGGTGAAACAAAAACAATGATGCAAATGCGACCACTTAGGCTTTCTTAGACCACATTGATCAATGACCTCATTATGTCGAAGCCGAGGTGCGAATTACTCAACACATAAGGCCATTTACTAATGTTGTTTTAAAAACTATGGTGTCTATATCATTACTCGTTTGAAATTTTGATTAAAGCTATTTAGACAGACAAAGTTCTCCACGTTGCTAATACACTTTGTGATAGGTCAGTCCTATAATAACAATACGGTCTACCTCTATTAGAAAGTGTGTCCTTTCACATGCTAACATCTTTTTTCTTTTGTGCATTAATGTGGTTTGGAGATATGGTACAACCAAGGCCTAACACTAATTTCAGGGCTCCTCCCCAACCCTACAGTCTCACTAGACTCCATTTCTGTTTGGTAAGTTTGGATTTTGTTAACGCATCTTTTAACCATTTCATTGCCAGTTAATTTTCATGAATTATTGAACCATGATTGCTATTATTATATCTAACTTTTGCATGCATGTTCTTATGCGATGAACAATTCCAGCATGAACTACTGGAACTTCAGTTTGCAATTTATGTTAGGCCTAAGTGCAGCGGCCAGGTTCTTAAAAAAAAAAAGCTCATAAGAACTCAAATTATTCCCTTACTAGTCTAAGTATTGGAAGTGATCTAATCATAATGAAATTACTTGGCTTATGCAGTGTTTGAGTTAGTAGCGAGCTGTTGGAAGTTAATTTTGATTCAAGCTTGTTTAATTTTAGTCTTAAAGTTGGCTTAGGTGGCAAGAAGAGTAGTAACGGCTAGTTTTTTAAATATCCTTTGAAGAGTCTTTTGCCTGTTGTGTAATCCATAGTACTGGACACTTGCATGCTCTAGATTAGGGATGTGTTGTAAGGTCCAGATGAGTGTGCACAGATGTGTCCTCAAGGGCAATGTACCCGAAGAGGAATAGGTCTAAGATGCCTTCTGTGAATTGGAATGCATTCCAAAGGAAAAAAGTTGTAGTTAAGTAACAACAATGTCAAGTGCTCAAGGATACAAATTTACCTCAGTAGATGCAATTCTGGTTATCGGCGCAAGCCTTTCGACATTGTGAAGGCAAAAGTTAGAAATCGTACCGGTTCTTTATCTATGCACAATCACAATTTTTGTACTCAAAATATAGTTGATGTATGTGTTCCTGCAGTTGTAATCGTTTAGACTATTAATTACCTTATACCTCTCGGTTATGTGAAAGAAAAAATCACCTAGCTTGAAACCACTCTTCAAGTCCTGATGAATTTTCTTCTCGGTTATGTGAGACCCAAATGGGTTACACATCATCAAGCTAACAGTTTTTTAACAGAAGTTGAGGGCAAGGACCAATGATACACATTTTGTTAAATTTAGAAATGCAAATTAACGAAATTTTAGTTTAGGAACGAATTCTAAACTCAAGTGCAAGTTCAAGGACAAATTCTACATTTTACTCGTTGATATTTTGTAGCTGCCTTATAAAATCACCATGTGGATAACATAATTCAGCTTTTCTTTACCAAGTCACCTAAATATTTTCAACTGGTCAAAGTATGGCTGCTAGCTTTTGGTTTATTTATTTATTTTGAAATGTATGGTGTTCGGTGGGGGGAAGGTATGGCTACTAGAAACATGAATGATAAATGAACTTTGACTTAGCCTCCAAGGACTCGGGAAAGTTTCAAGAATACATGAATTAGTATGCTTCTGAAGACAATTCATCCTTGATTACTAGTATAGATTAATGCAAAAAACCAAACAGCAGGAAGGGAGGAAAGAACTTTCTCTGAACACAATATATAAAGAGAAATATCTATTTATGTACCTAGAACAATTAGAAGAAGAAGCAGAATAATGGATTTTTTACAGTTTCTACTTCATATTACTCTATTATTTTTGTTTACGAGTAGTGCAGTGCTAGCAGTACCATTATTAGCAAAGCCTAATTGCCAATCACGTTGCGGAGACGTTGAAATCCCGTACCCTTTCGGAATTGGAGCAGGCTGTTACATTGACGACTGGTTTCAAATAACATGTGTCAACTCAACCAAACCTTTCTTGAACAACATCGATCTAGAGGTGCTAGAAATTTCTGTTAAGGGTACACTAAAGGTTGTAAACCCAATTACGTTCTCTTCCAACTGCAGTACTAATAAGCCTATTCGCCAAGCGGCCAACTTGGAGGGAAGCCCTTTTGTGTTCTCCCAGAAGAACATATTCACTGCAATGGGTTGCGGCGTTATGGCCATGATCACTTCAAACTCAAATGGCTCTACCGTTTCAGCCGGCTGCAAGTCCGAATGTGACAATATTTCAACAAATGTGAAAAAGAATGGAGTTTACTTCTGCCAGACCCCCATCCCTTGGTTTCTCTCTGCCTTCACTACTACTTTCCAGGTTTATGATGATTATACAAAAAGTACTAATTCATGCAGTTATGCATTTTTGGTAGACCATGACTGGTTTCAGTGGTTTCCCAACAATTCAACAAAAAATATTTCTACCATCAGTGACATGGACAATGTCCCTGTCATGCTAGACTGGAACTTGTATCATTCGACGGTCGATGTATTTGGAGTCATGGTAAAAGTAAATCCGAGATCTTTGGGTTCCGAATCATCCTTCTATTGCCAAAGTCATAATGACAGCTCTTCAATACATGAATCCTCATTCAGGCTGGAATGTTTCTGCAATTGGGGCTATGAGGGAAATCCCTATCTCCCACAAGGATGTCAAGGTAAACAATTCTAATTTATAATTTTATAAATCAACAAACACCATCCTTCTTTGTTTGTCTACCTTCTCTACTTACCATTTTGATTTTATTGAGCAGGAAATTTACAACATTATTAACTTTTCGTTTTTAATACAAAATATTGCAGACATAAATGAATGTGAGGCTGGGAACCATTGTACTGGAGGCTCCATATGTAAGAACCATGTTGGGTATTATGAATGCTACCCACCACATAGAAATTCTTGGCTTAAAGTGGTCTTTATAGGTATGCCCTTGTCTCCCCACACTACGATATGTAAAATATAATCTGCTTTCTTATATGGTAACTTTTCTTCTTATTTACAAAACACAAGGATTGTTTGTGCATGAAGTTAGTTCTTTAAAGATCGATATTGTAATGATACCATAGAAAATATGTCGATAACATGGTTTTATAATTTGTTGTCAACAACGATATCGATGGCATTATCGACAACCAGTTTCCAGACTAATATGCATTGCCAATATTGCAAATAGCTATCCCTTTACCTTTATAAAAAGAAATAAAAATCTTCTTGACCTGGTTAATATTCTTATGTTACTCGGCTATATTTTCAGGTATCGGCATCGGTCTTGGGCTATTGTTTCTACTCGTTGGTGCTTGGTGGTTGTATAAAGTCGTTAGAATTAAACTCAAGGAGAAGTTTTCGCAACAAGATGGCAGTTTATTGATGGAACTACAGCGTTTATCTTCTGGTGAAGTCAACTTGGATAATTAAAAATGTCCAAATTAGTTTACAAGTTAGAATGTATTATACATATAGAGTTTATAAAGGAATTGTTTGTTTGTCAAATGGAAGAATTTAAAAAGTCTAAAATAGTTTGTGGAGGCTAATTTAAGTTAGAAGCCAATGGAAACGAAATTTCATTTTCAGTCCTCAATTTTTAATTCCATTCCGTTTGATAAAAGAAAACTGAATTTTTTTTTTATACCAACGGCATTGGGGAGGGGAATTCGAAGTTAAGACCTCGGATGCAAATACAAGCTAATACCAAATAAGAACGGACATGTGCCCACTCTTTTAAACACGGGACTTGTCCACCATAATCTTGAGTATTTTTCCCTTTGGTTTTAATAGAAAAAAAAATATTTTGTCTATTCATAAAATAAAATATTAGTTTTAAAGGCTTGTCATTCAAGCAAATGTGAATATTTTTTTAGTGTTTTCCTCATATTTGAGAGTTTCGAACTCTAGATCTAGCTTGCTCCAACCACTAAAGTAGTTAAAAGTATAACCCTGCATCAAAAGTACCATGTCAGTTCAATTTCCCCACCCCAATATGATTTGTGTACAAGAAAAAGGAAGCAGAAGGTCGTCTTCTTGCAAGGCTCGTGGCGTAGCCTCCAGTTGCACCACCAGAAACGTTGGTACACCCGAGGAAACCTGATGCCAGTCCTGCCTCGAAGGTGTAGCTTGGCAAAGCCAACGAAATTTGTGAAGGCAAGAAAGAACATCAAGTTTGGCTCCTCATTTCAACAGATTTTTCATATTTTCTATCTTAAGAGTGAGATCATGTAATTTGACAACCTCATACAACATCTTTAAAATATTTTAATTTTATACGTTTAGTTATATTTTTTTTTTCAGTTTCATATATCTGTCAAAAAATCTGTTAAGTTAACATGATGGCATATCACTGTTAATTTTGCACCATGTGAATAAAAAATGATTATTTAATAAAAAATCAATCTATATTATAATTAAAAACTAAAAAAAATTGAATAGGGGATCTGGACAAAGCTTAGCCCGATAACCCCATCTCTTCCTCCTACCAATGATGCAGCCGTCAATCGCCCTTTTCCTCCTCTCCCTCTACCTCACCTCCCGCCACCACTTCCGGGCCTAGAAGGCTCAGCCCAAGCCCGCCCCGCCGAACCACATCCACCACTGCGAGGTTCGATTTCTCCCCGAGTTCTTTGATGTGTGGGATTTGTTAAGAAATGGAAATTTCATGGTGCTAAATGCTAGAGGGATTGTGGGGTTTGGACCTGGGAGGGATTTGAAGGTGTTTCCATGGAAGATGGAGATCCAGAGAGAGGGGAAGCTGGAGAAAGAAGAAGGGAAGGTTACGTTTCAAATTTTTAATATTTAATTATTTTGGTTCACCACATCACCAAAATATATTAGTTTTATATTTGTTACATCAGCAATTAACTGTTTAACTAACAAATGTATAAAATTGCAATAAAATGAAAAATCATGAATAAAATTAAAATATTTTAAAGATGTTGTATGAAGTTCTAATAGCATCAAACCTAAGGGGATAAAATGTAATTTTATCTTTTTTAGTTTGTTCTAATTTTTTAGAAGCTGGAAATTAATCACATTTTAAAACAAATATTTGATTGATCCCTCCAATCCTTTTCACATACTTTCATGATTTTTCTTCAGTTTCACTGCTATTTTTATAATTTGAATTTTGACTATATTTATTAGCATATTTTCAGCATTTCACTGGAAAGTCACCAAACTTGTAGGGCCATTACAAAATAAAGATTTTAAACGAAAAATCTACGATACTGTTTATTTTAATAAAAAATTATATTTTTACATTAAAATATCAAACTTAATATTATTTATTTTATCATTTATTTTATTTTTATATATGGTGAAAAAGCAGAAAATACAACAATGAAACTTTAAAAATTATTTGAGAAAAATCAGCATCACTCATATTCTAACGCCGCCCTAATCTTCTGTTCTGTCGTGGAAGGTGCAGAGAAATCAGCATCACTCATATTCTAACGCCGCCCTAATCTTCTCTTCTGTCGTGGAAGGTGCAGAGAAATCAGCATCAGTCATATTCTAACGCCGCCCTAATCTTCTCTTCTGTCGTGGAAAGTGCAGAGAAATCAACGGGAAAGTGCTGAGGACTAACTATATATCTATGCACTTTTACTTCTACTATGAAGAAGGTTGAGAGTTGAGGATCATTTTCTGTGCTACCTTACTCAGAGCTTACAACTAGAAACCGCCGGTATAGGTAAACAGAATACGAAAAATAACCAGAATGGTTGTCAAGTTGCTAACTCATATTATTCTGTTTACGCTGTTGCTGCAGTTACTACCAGTATCATCATCACAGAAACCGCCCATAGCAAAGCCTAACTGTCAGTCTCATTGTGGAGACATTGAAATCCCGTATCCCTTTGGAATTGGGGCAGGTTGTTTCATTGACGACTGGTTCCAAATAATCTGTGACAACTCTACTGGCAATCCCACTCCTTTCTTGAACCGTACTAATCTGGAGGTCCTCGAAATTTCTGCTGAAGGAGGTACGCTAAGGGTCACAAACCCGATCACCTTCTCAAATTGCAGCAACAAGCCAATCAACCGCCAGACGGCCAACTTGGAGGGCAGCCCTTTTGTGTATTCAACAAAGAACGTGTTCACTGCAGTTGGTTGTGGTTTTATGGCCACGTTCACCTCAAACTCAAATGGCTACTTCATTTCAAGTGGATGCAAGTCCGAGTGTGACATTTCCATAAATAAGAGTAACGGTGCCCGGCATAATGTATGCAACGGTGTGGACTGCTGCCAGATAGCCATCCCTTCATTTCTCTCTGCTTTCAATACGAGTTTCCAGCCTGATGACGATAAAACACGAAGTTCATGCAATTACGCATTCTTGGTAGACCGCAAATGGTTTCAGGGGTATGCCAACAATTTAACAAACATTTCTGCCATCAGCGAAAGGGACAATATTCCTGCGGTGCTTAAATGGAACATGTTTCATTCCACAACTGAAGTGTTTGGAACCTTTTTGGAAGTAAATGCAACGACAAGAAGCGAGTACCCAATCCGGCCTCGGTGTGTTAGCTACCATGACAACTCTTCCGCATATGGATCCTCAAGGCTTGATTGTACCTGCGGAGGGGGCGCTGAAGGAAATCCCTATCTTCTCGACGGATGTCAAGGTAAACTCGAATACCATTTTCAATGTCTAAAGTTCTTTTCTTTGTGTTTGGAATGAGTTAGTAGGTGATTGATGATCAATTTAATTTTTTCAATACACATTAATCCAGACATCAATGAATGTGAGGTTGGCAAATGTTCCGAGCACCTAGTATGTGTGAATCAGCGTTCGGGTTACAGATGCGTGAGTCCTCCGAAGAGCAAATCTCCCGTCAAAGCCATCATTATAGGTATGTTCCTGCACTATACAGTATAATTTTCTGCTTTAATAATGCATAATCTAGAATTAACAAAATGATTTGGAATTTTGAAGAGCAAAATAAGCAACCATATATATAACAAATCTCAGCAAATGAAAAAACGAAATAATCTTTGCTTATGTATACACACACACACTATCCTTTCTAATCTTCTTCAGTTATTCAGGTATCGGCAGTGGTCTTGGATTCTTGTTACTGCTCCTTGGTGCCTGGTGGTTGCATAAACTCATAAAGAAAACAAAAGCCATTAAACGCAAGAAGAAGTTCTTTAAACAAAATGGTGGTATACTATTGGAGCAACAACTGGCGGCTGGTGAAGTAAATGTTGAGAAAATTAAGCTGTTCAATTCACATGAGTTAGAGATGGCCACAGACCATTTTAACATCGATAGAATTCTTGGCCAGGGAGGCCAAGGTACTGTTTACAAAGGAATGTTGACGGATGGAAGAATCATTGCTGTAAAGAAGTCTAAATTAGTTGATGGAGGCGAAATTGCGCAGTTCATTAACGAAATTGTCATTCTTTCGCAAATTAACCATAGGAATGTGGTTAAACTGTTGGGTTGCTGTTTAGAGACAGAAGTACCTCTCTTGGTTTATGAATTCATACCGAAAGGGACTATCTACCAATATCTCCACGAAGAAAATGAGGAGTTTTTATTTACGTGGGAAATGCGCTTAAGGATTGCTGCTGAAGTTGCAGGAGCTCTTTCTTACTTACATTCAGCAGCAGGTTTTCCAATTTACCACAGGGACATCAAGTCTACAAACATACTCTTAGATGATAAATACAGAGCAAAAGTTGCAGATTTCGGGACTTCAAGATCGGTTTCCATTGACCAAACCCACCTCACCACAATAGTACATGGCACCTTCGGGTACTTGGACCCAGAGTACTTCCAATCAAGTCAGTTTACGGATAAGAGTGATGTGTATAGCTTTGGAGTTGTCCTTCTTGAGCTATTGACTGGAGAAAAATCCGTTTCTCTAACAAGGTCACCAGAAATCAGAGGCCTAGTTACATATTTTAATTTTACAATGGAAGAGAATCGTCTGTTTGATATTATTGATGCTCGAGTTAAGGAGGAGGGTGTAACGGAAGACATACTATCAGTTGCTAACCTCGCAAACAGATGCTTGGAGATGAGTGGAAAGAGACGGCCTACGATGAAAGAAGTGGCAATGGAGTTGGAGAGGATTCAAAAATCAGTCAAGTCTTCTAATAATCTGCAACAAAATTACGATGAGGTCGAATATGTTAGAAATGACGTAACTGGTCCTTGGGATGTTACATCGACAGGGTCGTGTTTGGCTGGAGGTACTACTCCGTCAAAAGATTCACTACCACTACTATCTTACTGATCACGACCAGCAATTGGTGGAAACTGGAGATTTCCCTGATCTTGTTTTCGAAGCAAGAAATTTTTTTTTTTTTTTCTGGTTTTAATCAACTTGTTTAGTGGTGTCTGTATGCTCCGATTGTTCTTGATGTTTTATGTGCTAATAATTTTGATGTGTCCGACAGTTTTAGCTTCTCTGCACAAACTGTTATTAGCAGTCTGAAAAGGTCGTATTTTCTAGACTCTTCCTGTTTAAATAATCTAAATCCTAGTATGCTATTGTGTTTTCCACTTCTATGTGGTTTAGTTTTCTGTTTAAATTTCCACCACCAGTAATCAAAAGAAGGGTGACATTTGGCAGCCTATTTCCCTTGGCTGTCAAATGTCAAGGGGCATTTGGCTGAGAACTTTCACAGTCAAGCTTCAAAATTGGTCTGCTCCGAAATGTTTGAATCAATCCTAGAAAATAAAGGAAAATTACACAACTTAAAAACTTTAAAAAAATAATAGGAAGATCAAAGTTTGGAAATTAAGGGAAAGAGAAGAAAAGTCTGGTAAAACTTCCTTAAGACAAATTATCTTATTGCCATAGTTGCTTTTGTGGGGTTTGGTTTTTTTGTCTCCCCACCCCACGGTATTTGTACTACCTTTTTCTTCTTCATTAGTTTAGTAAGCGTAAGAGGCCCCCCCCTTTATTAAAAAAAAAAAGGTTAAATTGGATTAATGGTTCCTGTAGCGAGAAGGTAATCGGAAGATAGCTCCCGTGGTAAAAAAAATTCGGATTTAAACCCTCGTGGTGAAATCCGTTAGGATTTAAGCCTAAAATTAACATCTTCCTCATCTATTTGTTAACCCATTCAACGTTCGTAACCAAAAGAGGAAAAAAACTCATTCATCCAAGGCTATGAATTTGTTGCCCCTGGCTCCGTCTACTGCAGCCCCCAACTCTATGCCAAGCTCCGCCCCGAAATGGATGCTGATAACTCCTTCGCCGATGTGGTGCGTCTCATCTCTTCCTTCCTTGCTTCCTGATTTACAGTTTGAGATCTTATTCAAAATACATGAATTCGAATTTCAATGAATCTGCCCTTTTGTTTGCTTTGTTTACTGTTCAACATAATTCCATGAGGAAATTCAAATCATTGATCACATTGGATATAGGATTTCTGGCCTTCCAAATTGCTTAGTGATAAGTACTTAATTGGCCACACTGTTCATTATATTTAACCCAGGGATTTGAAATCTTGTGTACATGGACTGGATTTGAATAGTCAATCGTTTACGTTGCCATAGATAATCACGCTAGTGGCTGTAATCCTCCGGCGAACTATTTGTATCGTAATAAGTTGGACATTCTCATTTTGTATTGTGCTGAACGAATTCATAGCCTTGGATGAATGAGTTTTTTTCTCTTTTGGTTATGAAGGTTGAATGGGTTAACAGACAAATGAGGAATATGTTAATTTTGAGCTTAAATCCTAACAGAGTTCACCACAAGGGTTTAAATCTGAATTTTTTCACCATGAGGCTATCTTCCGATTACCCTCTCATCACGAAGACCGTTAATCCAATTTAGCCTTAAAAAAATAAAAATATAAGTGGATAATAAATGATACATTACAGGAAGCATGGCAAAACCGTAACCAAATCTTCAATATTTCTTCTGTGAGGATAATTCTGCACAAAATTCTCATATGGGCCAAAAGAAATATTTTCATATAAAGTTATCCCGATATATGAAATTTTTTTGTTAATATTTTCATATAAATTTATCCCGATATATGAAATTTTTTTGTTATCACTACATGAAACTCGGCCACGGTCCACGTACACTCGGATGAGATGGTAATCCTAACATGTTTGATAATTCAGAGCCTTGAGTGTTTGATATGGAATATATAGGTTATATAATGACTCTGGGGCAAAGTTATAAAAGACGTTAGGTGTTAGTCATGTGGTGGGTTGGGCCTAGCATCTAGGTGGCTAGGTGGGGCCTATTTATACTTACAAAATACATAATTGCATTGAGATACATAAATTGTAAAACAAAATGACATTTAAATTAAAATATTATAACATATTGAAAAATTAAAGTATTAACCAGTCTCTTATAATTTAATAAACAAACATAAAATTCAAAAATTAAAGTCATCGATTTTCTGTCTAAATGAGAGTCGCGACATGGGGGTGCCTAGACGGGCTAGGTGGATGCCTAAGGAGGTCTAGACACCCTTTCTTAATTTTCAAATGCCTAGGAATTATTCGGGACAATGGCTAACCGCCTAGCACCTAAGCGGGGCCTAGGCGGCACAAGGCAGGAGTTTTTAGAACAGTGCTTTGGGGAAATTCAGAGAACATATTAGTAGTGTAAAATCCCATCCCCGGATTTCACTCTTTAAAATTACGTATTTCGTATTTCCCAGCGAATTGATCATCGCAACCACCTGCACTTGACTCCACGACCCTTCCTTTACCAATTCCACCCCAAACCCGATGAGATTTGGCCACCTTTAGTGGTACACAGAACCCACGGGTTCAAGAACCCTTCGTCGGCGATCCATCGTTTATGAAATGTTCTCCATCAACCACCACCACCCTCAGGTGTCTCTTGAGCCCAGAAACAAACCCCAAACAAGTTTAGGGGCGGCAGAGCTTCGAATTCGACAGATCGAGGTTCACCCATTTTTCTGGGTTTCTGACGATTCGAGGGATTTTCTGGCTACTTCCCAGCCAAACTGGACTTCGGCCCAGGTATGAAAAATGTTTCCCTTGTTGAGTTGTACATTTTGCAAAATTTGGTGAATTTTGGAGTTGGTAAAAATTTGTGGTTTCCGTTCACTAGAAACCGCCACCTGCAGCAACACATACGGTGGCGCGTGGTGGGTCGACACTACCTTTTTAAGTTAAATTCAATGTCCTGATTTCAGATTTGATATCCGTTTGATGTGGTTCAATACTTTGAACCTATTATTGAATATTACACCACTTGATCATTTTATGATTTGACAATCCGACCGTTGGATTGTCACTCAACTTTAATACGTTATAGTACATAATATTTGAGGACGTTAAAAACTGATAGATTGGGAATCTAATGTACGGATCTTCCCAAATTAGATTTCTAAGTTTGTAAAATCAAACGTTGACTGCCACTTAATCTTAATGATTGGCAGAGATCCAACCGATGGATCGTAATGAAATTTTAGTTAGTTCTTCTAGAAGAGTAGTGAGACTCTTGGGAAGTTATAGATCAGAAATCTGATAGGCGGATGTTCTGGTTTAGATTTCTAGGGTTGTGGACCCTACTTTCGACCTTGATCGACGATTGGCTTTTTAGTCAACTAGCTCAAGTTCTTCTAGCGTGTTGCTGATCTTAAAGTGTTGTTGAGATTCCATAGAGCTTATTAGGCTTAGCATGATGACATGTCTTCCTCGAATAACATGCACCCGATTTACGTACTTATGGCATCACATTATGTTATACTTGTTTATTTTATGTGATTTAACGTTTGTATTGAACTTGTTGTGGAGTGTGGTTAATTTGTATGTTTGGCCTGATGTGATGAAATGTGAGGGCTAGTAGTGGACCATGAACCCATTGTCATGGGATTTGTCGCTTCGAGACTTGTTTCACATATTGTATCATTATTTCATTTCTCGTTTTGTTGAGCCCTTCTAATTGTGTACCTTGTGCTTTGTTCCATTTCTTGTTTCGTTGAGCTTTTGTATTTTGAGTACTTGTTTCATGTCTTGTTCTTCGAGCGTTACTATATTCCTTGGACTTCCGTTCGGTTCCGTTGAGTGATCTGGAACTAGGTTTCCACTGGGGTTCTGTTGAGTGGTCTAGTTTCCTATTCTGTCTCAATTTCGTTAAGTGGTCCGGAATCCCACATGATCCGCAATTTCGTTGAGTGGTTCGGAATCGTATCCAACTTGGATTTCATTGAGTGGTTCGGTCCCAAGCCTGTGAAAGTTTATCTTATATTGCCGACCCTAAGCCCGAATAAAGAAGGAGGTGGACTCTGTCAAGTAGTCAACAGCCAAAACTCATTTTTCATGGCGAATTCTTATGATCTAGATGTTATAATTTGATCATATGATTTCCAAAAGTTATGGGATTGACTAATGATTCCTCCATTCAATCTTGAACAACTCTGATGAAATTTCTTTCTTTTTTATTTTGGCTGATATTTTAATTTGAATTTTAATTATATTCATTAGGATACTTCAGCCTTTCACTATCAAGTATGACTACTATACCAGATGATGCAGAAACAACATGAATTAGACAATAAAATAAGAAAATCTTGACAATACTTCTATCTGTAATAATACTTTTACGGCCCTCCTAAAAAGAAGAAATCTGCGATGAAACCAGTGGTTACAGGTACACCTCTGTCCCCTCAGTTGACCTGGAATAACTTTCAGTGGATTCAAAATGAGAAAATTTTGAACAGTTCACTAAAATTCTCAAGAGATTAGCTGAAGAATTAGGTACTTTTTTGTAACATGTATTGATTTATGTAGATATTGGTGCAAGCTTGGGGCTATTACTTCTTCTTGCTGCTCTATGGTGGTTATACAAGGTAGAGAAGAAAATAAATAACAGTAATTGCCGAGAGAAGTTCTTCAAACAAAACGGTGGCTTATTGCTCGAAGAACAATTGAGTTCCGGTAAAGTCAATGTTGAGAAAATAAAATTATTTGAACCAAAGGAGCTAGAGAAGGCCACAAATCATTTTAATGTGAATAGAAAACTTGGCCAGGGAGGCCAAGGTACCGTTTACAAAGGAATGTTGACAGATGGAAAAATTGTTGCAGTAAAAAAGTCCAAGGTGGTTGATGAAGGGAAACTTAGAGGCCTTTCATTAACAAGATTGTCATTCTTTCCCAGCTTAACCACAAGAATGTGGTTAAGTTATTCGGGTGTTGTTTGAGGATAAAGGTTCCTCTACTAGGTGTATGAATTTGTTCCAAACGGTACCCATTTCGAGTATATCCACAAAGATAATGAAGAGTTTCCGCTTACGTGGGATATGCGCTTAAGAATCGCCACTGAGGTCACTAGAGCCCTTTTTCTACCTGCATTCATCAGCTTCCATTCCCATTTATCATCGCTATACTAGGTCCACAAACATATTTTTAGATGACAAGTATAGAGCAAAAGTAGCTGATTTTGGAACTTCAACATTTTTCCATTGATCAAACTCATGTGACCACACAAGTACAAGGCACTTTTGGATACTTGGATCCAGAGTACTTCCAATCAAGCTGGTTCACAAAAAACTCCAATGTTTATAGCTTCGGAGTTGTCCTCGTTGAGCTCCTGACTAGTCAAACTCCTATTTCATTCATAAGATCGGAAGAAGGGAGAAGTCTAGCCACATACTTCATTCTTAGAATTGAAGAAAATCGTCTGTTTGATATCGGTTGATGTTTAAGTTACAAAGGAGGGAAATAAAGGACAGGTTGAGGCAATTGCTTGCCTTGCAAGAAGATGCTTAGACTTGAATGGAAAGAGACGCCACTCGATGAAAGAAGTTGCAATAGAGCTGGAGGACATTCAAAATGGACAGATTCTGGATTACGTCCGAATTTTCTGTCTTTCAAAAGTTCTTGCTAAAAGTCCATAATCTACTTCGGCCCAAAGCTAAAGGACCACAAATCTGTTTTGATTGAGAAACCTGGTCCACCCCAGCTTTTAGCATTTGTGGAAAGCGAGATGACTTTCACAAATCATTTTTAGCCTCTTACGCATTCGTATAAGTTAATTCTGTTTGACTTGGTGAATTTGGTGGTTAAAAATAAAAGGAATATGTGAGTTCTATGGGTGAAAATCAGTTTCCTTGTGAATGCCCACAATTTTTCTCATCAAGCAAATTCTTTTAATTTTTTTCTGTATTTGTTTAAACTCTAAAGATGATATGTTTTGTACCTGTTTTTAATTTCTCCTGTATTTGTTTATTTTTCTATGGTTGTTCTGCTTATTTCATACCTGTTTCTATTGAACAATCTTTGATTTATCAGAATGAAAAATTTGAAGCCATTTTATAAATGAGGTTTCTTATACATATTTTCCTAATTTTATATTGGAGGCAGATTTGTGACAACACTTTTTTACACAAAATTTGACACATTTTTACAAGGAAACAATAAATTTAATTCAACAGTCATATTGTTTCGGGTCTGGTTGATTTTGAGTGCACATGATATTTGAAAAAAGACCTAAAAGATATGCTTGCATCATTGAAATACATTACGGAATGGGTCCTACAAAAAGTTGTGTAAAAAATTATGTAAAAAAAGTAATATCACGGCTCTGCCCTGTCTGTATGTGCATATATATATATAAGCATGATGTTATAAAAAAAATTCAGCAGAGTGGTTATAAATGGAAAAGAAAAGAACATAGAGGTCCTTCCAAAAACTAGTTGGATTTGTAAAACCCATTCAATATAATAATGGTTTGTGAGACCATAATTCAAATATAATTTCTACAAAAATGCCACGGTCAACATGGCATCTAAGATTTCAAAGTACACAGGAGTTGTGAAGTGAAGGTGTTAAAGTTACGGCCCCCTTTAAACCCCTGATCACAACTACCAATTGCTAAACCCTACCTAATCAGAAAGAAAATGCAGTTTAAAAAAATGGGTGCTGACCTTACCATGTACACGTGCTTACTTAACCCACCTTTGGATAGAAGCATCGTCACACCTTTCCCCCAAAAGTATCATTGTCCATCGAGCTCCAACACAAATTCAATGCTCAAAATAAATGGATTTGACTTTAGTAACCCCTTTACAAACTCATATAGTGAATTACCCTGTTTCGCAATAGCTGGTTTTAGTAGTTTTGTTTTACTGCGATCCGATTTAAAACTCTTCTCCTTTCTTTTAATGTAGATCAATGTAGATATCTTAATAAAAATAAATAAAAACCTTGGTTCCAAATATAACATTCTTTTTACTAAAAATACCTTGTTTTATCGTCAATATTGTATCAATTTACTATTAACTCGATACTATATATCAATATTGTATTTATATCATTTCAGTATTAGCGATAAAGTGCATATTAGCTTTCGAAAACAAGGCTAATTAAGTTGGTGGTTTTGTAAACTAAAGCCAATTTCCCACAAAAAAAAAACTTACAAAAATTGAAGAAAAAAAAATATAAGAAAATTGAAATGTCCAGTAACCTAATGCACTTTTCCTTTGAAAAGAAAAACCTGATGACATTGGGATCATCTGACAAGTCGCATTGAATTCAAGCTTGTATTTAGGCAACACTGCCTTGAAATGTGAATATTTGAATTATTTAATTTCGAAAAATCAAATAGATTTTACTTAGGTTTATGCATGGTTTGGTGAAACTAAATGACAAAAAATAGGTAACTTACTTGCAACTAAACTTCTCTTGCTAAGAAGACACATGTACAAACTGGTAGGCACCAAACAAACATATTGACCGGTAGTTCTACCCTAGTGTCTCCTCTCTCCCTTCCATTTTTCTACAAACTGTAACAGGGCATAAATATACATAATCCCACTACTCCTCCCAGGTAAAACACACACTCTCTCTCAGTGTCATATCAAGTAGTGGTGGCTCAGCCGTCGGAGGTTACCATGGGGTCGCAGGAGGAGTACCAACCGCTACTCATCAGGCTCGATTCACACTCCCAGATACCGAACTTGTCGTCCAGTGCCATTGAAGAGTTTCTGGAGCACAAGCCCGTGGCGGTTCGATGGTGGCCTAAACTGGTGGCTTGGGAGTCGAGGCTCCTCTGGATTTTATCCGGTTCATCTATCGCTGTCTCTATATTCAACTACATGCTCAGCTTTGTGACTCTCATGTTTTGTGGGCACCTGAGTGCCTTGGAGCTTGCTGGGGCCTCTATAGCTAGCGTTGGAATTCAGGGTCTCGCTTATGGTATCATGGTAAGTCCTCTAGTTTAATGTACTTTATAAATAAGGATATTAGCACATTCCAACATCTAATAATCCTGAAAATGCACTATCCTAACTATTATGTTGCGCAGATAATAGTTCTCTGATTAACTTATATGGCACAATTTCATCATGTTTTTTCATACGCTTCGGTATAGTATTTGTGTTTTCCCTTCGCGCATGAAAAACACACAAAGTATTCGATTAGGAGTGATGACAGAAACTAAACCGAGAGTGCCCAACTCTCGTTACATTACTCGTGTGGCCGAATTTCATCTTTTCTTGTGTGGTTGGATTAACACTTTTTGTGTTCTTAATTCTTGGTTTGGAATCAAAGTTGGGAATGGCGAGTGCTGTCCAAACAGTGTGTGGGCAAGCATATGGAGCCAAACAACTGCCAGCAATGGGAATCATATGCCAAAGGGCAATCATCCTGCATTTGGGAGCAGCAGTACTACTCACATTTGTGTACTGGTGGTCAGGACCAATCCTTATAGCCATCGGCCAAACAGAAGACATAGCAGCACAAGGTCAAGTATTTGCCAGAGGAATAATCCCACAGCTCTATGCATTTGCCATAAACTGCCCCCAGCAGAGGTTTCTCCAAGCTCAGAACATTGTAAACCCTCTAGCTTACATGTCACTCGGGGTCTTCCTCCTCCACATTCTGCTCACTTGGGTGGTGGTTTATGTGGTGGACTATGGGCTGACGGGGGCGGCTCTGACACTCAGCTTCTCTTGGTGGCTTCTTGTCATCACATATGGAATTTACATTCTTGTCAGCCCCAAGTGTAAGGAGACTTGGACTGGCTTCTCATGGAAGGCTTTTAGGGGCATTTGGCCTTACTTTAAGTTGACACTTGCGTCCGCTATCATGCTTTGGTAAGTACAAGATTTTGAGAAATATGCCAAAATAGAACCGGTTACACATTTAAAATAAAGAATAAACATGCATTGTCTGGTGTTCTGATTTTAAGATTGATTACAAAACTAAAACCGGTTATATTTTTACGCATTACGTTTTTTTTCCTTCTTCAGTTTACCATTCACTTAAAATATTTTTTGCTTGCAATTAACTGTTGGGTTTTATGGTAGTTTGGAGATATGGTACAACCAAGGACTAGTGCTGATATCAGGGCTTCTCTCCAATCCGACAATCTCTCTAGACTCCATTTCTATTTGGTACACCTTTTGTTAAAGCAATCCATTTTTTAACCTTTTTACTTTTACCGTTCAACTTGATAATTTTTGTTAACTGCTATTTGACATCTAACTTTTCATTTTCTGATGTGATACAATTCCAGCATGAACTACTTGAACTGGGACATGCAATTTATGTTAGGCCTATCCGCGGCAGCCAGTGTTCGTGTTAGTAATGAGCTTGGTGCCGGTCACCCGAAGGTGGCCAAGTTTTCAGTGTTTGTAGTGAACGGGACGAGCATATTGATTAGCATAGTCTTCAGTGCGATTATATTGATATTCCGAGTTGGATTGAGCAAGCTTTTTACAAGCGACGCTGAAGTTATCACGGCAGTATCTGATTTAACCCCATTGCTCGCCATCTCTGTTTTCTTGAATGGCATTCAACCTATACTCTCAGGTATTGAAAAATGATGGAAGCCGTGGAGAAGCAAACTAGGTTTGCAGGCACTATCAGCATCAATTCTAATTCATGTTGTGTGGAATTTTAGGTGTGGCAATCGGAAGCGGATGGCAAGCTGTTGTGGCGTACGTTAACCTGACTTGTTACTATATTATCGGTCTTCCGATTGGATGTGTTCTAGGCTTCAAAACTAGCATGGGAGTTTCAGTAAGTAGAATCTCACCTCACTTTTGCTAGTAAAGTGATTGCTTTGCTTTGTGAGTGATGGAAAATGATGAACTTTTGGTATTTTTCAGGGTATTTGGTGGGGAATGATCATTGGAGTTTTTCTACAAACAGTAACTCTAATTGTTCTCACTGCAAGAACAAACTGGGATTCTGAGGTAATTTAAGTTTCAAAATTTGTGGAAGATATAATTATCATTGAATATATAGAGACAGGAACTGCATTTGACCAAAAGTTCTCACCAATGATCATGCTTTTGTAGGTTGTAAAAGCAGCTGAACGATTGAAGAAATCTGCAAGTGCAGAAAGATTAGACTTGGTGACCGATATATAAGGCTGCTGTGAAGGTTTCTGAACTTCATTTCACGTGCGATTCCTGTTCAAAATCCTTTGATTCGACAGTGCATTATGGTCAACGAGAACTAGCATAGATGTTTGTTACGTTTCTTTCTTACCCTGCACACAACTAAGCAGATTGTTGCAATTTTGATGATTTAAGGGAAAGAAAAAGTCCTACTTGTTTGTGGCAGTAGAAATTTCTACCAGGCATAATTTCAGTAGAAGCTGCACTACTAGAATCACATTGTGCTTGTAGTTAAACTGCTACAACATCAAACGGTTCCATTCTGTTCTCCATCCGTCTCACCTCGAATGGTAAAACGAAGGGTGGCCGGAATACTGAGCCAATATAGTTCACAAGCGGCAAAACGTACTGGCTTAAGCTGGTGATTATCGTCAAGATTGTTTGATTTGGTTTGTTACCAGATGCCTGCATTTCCTTATATTTCTCCATCATCTTCTCGATATTGTTTGTCTTAGCCTTTGATCCATGTCAGATGCATTTACATATGCGGATAGCATAGTCACATAGTCGCATAGGACCAACGATCAGGGTTAAACCTGAAGCAAAAACAAACAAAAACAGGGCTATTTCTACCCTCTTGCAAAAGCATGTCTTTAATTATCTGTCGAAGGAGCACACTGCTTTTGCCTTGCGATACTTGACATTACGACAGACAACCACCTAATGAATTATGATTCTATTATGTTGGAAAATTTCAATAACAAAAGAGGAATACAAAAAAATCCGATCAGTCGGCGATATCGAGCGACCGGTACGATGAAGCGAAAACCCCGTGATTAGAGCTTCTAACGTGGGCAACCAGTCGATCGGCTGGGCCAAAAGCACGAGTCGCACTCTTTGCCTTGGTCATACCGGTCCCTCGACTTGGTACGGAGAATTCAAATTGTCACGCCCCGATCTCAACATACATCCCGAATTGACATGTGACGTCACCAAATATTCGTATCTCAAACATACCTTGCCTTCGGGATATGGCAAATCACAACTTGAGAATCGAATCGCAAAGTAATTTTTCGTATACTTTATGGTTGCATCTAACCTCCTCGTTAGACTGTCTACGTACCCTCAATAGGGATCAAGCGATTCCTAGTTCATCATTCACAAAATCAGACGTTTATCCCACTGAGTTCAAGCAGAAAAGCATGGCATTACTCAATCATTTATTATAACCTGACAAGATGAAATTCCTAGACTCAAGCTACATAACAAACCCCCATGAAAATCATGATATCTCATCCATCCAACATATAAATCATTATGTCTCATCATGATATCACAATTGACAACATACATCATATTTAAGAGTCGACGAAGCACAAAACCATTCTCTAGCCACATTAATTAATTAATCTTATCAAAATAATAACAATCATTCCCATATCTTCTGAATTCATACCTTATGAAATCATAATCGAATCGTAGAAAATCCCGAAGGAGTCACCCAGACGTCCAACAGCTTTTCTAACCCAATTGACAAGATTCTCGAAACCATTGTCACAAATATATAAAAACTAAGGCTAGAGTGACACAGCTAAGCCAAGTCTGCTAAAGTAACCAAACAGGAAGTGGCCCCCCATCGCGGATTAACCAAGCAAAACCACCCATGCAGTAACCAAGTAGGCAATGACCCTCTATCGCAGATTAACCAAGCAAAGTCACTCCTACACATCTGTTAGGCAATAATCACCTATCGTGGATTAACCAAGCATGATCTATAGAAAATATGGTCCCTTATCGTGGATTAACCAAGTAGGACCATGATCCCCTATCACGAATTAACCAAGCAGGACCAAGATAACCAAGTAGGTAGCGACCACCCATCGCGGATTAACCAAGCAGAGTCACACCTACAGAACTATTAGACAATGATCACCTATCGCGGATTAACCAAGCATGATCACCCCTAAGTGTGTGTATATGGCCATATCAAAGATATAAGGATCGCATATCGTGGATTAACCAAGCACGATCCATAAATAGTATGGTCCCCTATTGCGGATTAACCAAGCAGGACCATCCATGTACCACTGCTACATGGTGCAGGAAATTCAACACACAACCTACCCATAACTCAACCTCTATGGGTTACAACGTAGTCACTACACCATCAACTTATCATGGCCACCAACTAATACGTCACACAAGCATATAAATTCTACAGAATACTTCTAATAGGATTCTAAGATCACATAGTCATAGCATTTATCATACCTATCATTCACATTGCTAAAAAGGGATAATTAAACACACATATATTACAATCATCAATACACAAGCCAAATCATGTTTAATAAATGTAGGTCTATGGCTAAATACATAAAAAAATCACATTTCAAAGGAAATTACATTTATAAAACCAAGTCATATTCACAAATGATATTAATATAAGAAATTAAGGTAATAACCATATCACATATATTCAAATCACTCTCTAACCAATGTGGGTCCACTAGACTTCACTTAGTCTCCTGTGGTACCAATTTTAGTATCTAGAACATTTCGAGACATGTTGACCAAAAGTCAATTCTCGGTTAACTGTAGGGTATACATCTCCATGTAATTTGATATGAAAGATCCGCCCATCAAATTTTGGATCCGTAACTTCCTAGGGTCCTCATTATTCTCATAGAACATCATACTAAAATCTCATCATGATCCGACGGTCGAATCCCCGCCAATCACAAATTCATGTGGCAGTCGATATTTTATTTTATGAACTTACAAATCCAATTTGAGGAGATCCATACGTCAAATTCCCGATCCGTAAGTTTCTAATGTCCTCAAATATTACGTGCTATAATGTACTAAATTTTGGTGACGATCCAACGGTTAGATCGTCGATTCATTTAATGTCCAAGTGGCGGTCTCTATCAAAATTATAGTCATACGATGGGATTTCATCAATCGAACGTCACATATGGAATCAGGGTATCCAAATTAGTCTAGGAAGGGCAGGTGGGGTTCTGGCCCACGCGCCGCCGCACGTCGCAGCCAGCTGCCCCATCTCGTCGAAAAATTCAACTATTTCCAAAAATTACCAAATTTTACAGGCAAGTAGATCTCAGTGAGGGGAGAAATTTTCATACCTGGGCTGAAGTCCAATTCGGCCAGGAACCACCTAAAATCAGCCTTGATCCGCCGGAACCCTATAATTGGGTATTCCTTAAATGACGGATTCCGCCACCGTGCACCCGTGAACCCGCCGGTGCTATCTCACAAATTAGAGGTTAATTCGTGTTAATTTTTGAATGAATATGGAAGAGAATATGATGTTGAGTCGGTTCCAGGTAGTGGGTGGCTGCGATTTGCCGGAAAAATGGCCTGAAAAGGCGTCGGAAATCATGAAGAAATCAAGTCCGGGTTGCTGGTCAAAGGGGAATCCGGGGTTTCCCCTCCTTCTCGCTTCTCTCATTTCCCTCCTTCCTCCCTCTCTCTAATTGGGCCATCCACTCCTTCTCTCCTTTCCCGATTGGAGGCAGATTGTCTGCCCTCCTGTTATGGTGCCCTCCTCATACCCTACTATTTGTGCAGTCACGGTTAAGCCACGTCAACATTTTATATTCCTATTGTTTTTTGTCTTATTATCTCTATAAATAAAATCAATATAAAATGTTGACGTGGCTTAACCGTGACCGCACAAAATAGGAGGGCATGGGAAGGGCACCATATTAGAAGGGCAGACAATCTGCCTCCCTCCCGATTCACTGCACCCTCCCCCTTTTCTCTCCCGTTCTCTCTTCCTCCTCCGTTCCTCTTCCTCTCTCCTTCTTTTCTTTTCTTTTTTCTTCTCTAGCTGCCATTTGGCAGCTCTAATTTCTTTTTCTTTTTTTAACAACCACTCACATGGTTTCAGTTTTCAACAATATGTGGTCGAGGTGCTTTCCAAAAAAAAAAACATATGTTGTAAATATAAACACGTTATAATTAATAATACGAAAATCTTAATTTTAAATAGTGAAATCCAAGGACGGGATTTCACACAAATTCTCACATTTTTGAATATATGGTGGGAATGGGGATCCTCTCTGGATCGTCATTGTGAGGATCCTGAAGATCCTTCAATCGTATCCGTTCATCGTATATCATGCGGTTAAAAATTATTGTAAATTTTTTTATTTAAAATTGAATATAAACAGTACCTGAACAAAAACTAACCGCACGATGTACGATAAACGGACACGATTAAAGGATTATCGGGATCCTCACAAAGAGGATCCGGAGATGATCCTCATTCCTTTTTTAGTAATAATGAAAAATTAGTTAAATTTGGAACGTGCCTCATTAACCTAATGAGGAGTCTGGTGAAAATTGTTGTCCATACGTCCTTATTTTATGGGCATGTGATGCCACGTGACATAAATTTGTGCTTCGTAATTTCGACACTGGTATGGCTATCTGACCGGTCACAATCAATTTCAATTTATAATGGAGCACTGCCTCCGAATGTGGATACTTGACTATATTTGACTTAGGTTTATGGATGGTTTAGTGTAATTATTAAAGAAAAATCAGGTTGCTGCAGCTAAACTTCTCTTGCTAATGTCACGCGTTTATACACTGGTGGTCACCCAGCATTTTTGAATGGTAGTTATACCTTATAGTTTTCCTCTTTCAAGACCATCAGATGGTGGTGGCTCAGCCGGCTGAGCCACCACGGTCGACGAGAATTAGACATTTTACTAACCAGATTGTTACAAAGTTTGATGGCTTAAAGGAAAGAAAAGAGTCCTACTTCTTTCACAGAATGTAGTAAAAATTTGCACCAGACATTTTGAGTAGAAGCTGCAATACTTGGATCACAAAATTGTGCTTGTGGTTGTAGACATTAATTAGGCTGCTACAAAATCGAACGGTTCCATTTTGTTCTCCGTCCATCTCAAAGAGCAACAAGATCAAGGGTGGCCGGAAAACAGAGCCAGTATAGTTCACAGGCAGCAAAATGTACTCATTTAAGCTGGTCTGAAATGATATCGCTCCCACGTAGTATTACTTAACTTATATTCTCGACTTAATAACCAAGCCTGAGTAACGTGACTATATCACAAATTAGAGTATCCCAACTTTACAAATCTGCAACTGCAAGTAAACCCTCAAGGTTTTTCTCGTTAACCCCATTGAGATAAACCAGTTCATGTTTTTGCTCCGCATTTGATGAAGTGACCAGTGAAGGACCATCTAATTCATCATCATACTTTTCATCCTCATCCTCACTATCATTCTCATCGGTAGGCACCAGATACTTACTAGATCCTTGTTCATTGATACTCTGATCCAAATTTCCTACAAGCTGGTTAGCCACCTTCTGTTCCTCTGCTGTTTTCGCCAAAGACAAAAGGATATTCTTTGCTTTCTGATCAGGCGGAAGCCTACAGGATTCCATTTCCTGGTACCAAACAACAGCACTGCCAAAATCTCTGTTTTTTCCATATGCATCCATGATTGTTGTCAAGATTGTTTGATTTGGTTTGATACCAGATGCCTGCATTTCCTCATATTTCTCCATCATCTTCTCGATATTACTTGTCTTAGCATACCCTTTGATTAATGTCCCATAAGTGACGACATTGGGTTTAAATGCATCTTGTTTTATTCTTATGAAGAATTTCTCGGCACCCTCCATGTCAGATGCATTTACATATGCTGACAGCATAGTTGTATAAGAGCACAGATCAGGATTAAACCTGAAGCAAAAACAGACAAAAAAAAGAGGGATCACTATCCAGATCATAGAGTGTAAACTTTTAGGGATAGGGCTATTTCTGCCCTCCTACAAAAGCATGCCTTTGATTATCTGTCGATAGACCACACTGTTTCTGACATACTTTTGACATACGATACTTGACATTATGACTGAAAACAGCCTAATAAATTTGTGGTTCTAACAAACAGATAGTAGAACCATAAAGTGCATTCAATTACACAGGTATTTCACTCCGGCAATATGTGTGAAGATACTAGGTGAAGGGAGAGAAGTAAGGAATGGACTGATGGATGCCAATTGAATCCAATAGTAAGGAACGGACTGATGGATGCCAATTGAATCCAATTAATGTTGACTGGTTTGTAGAATTCACAATCTGATCTAATAATGATCAGTTTGTGGAAATGTGAGTAAGTTGATATGCATGCTCGGATACATAAACAGAACAAATTCAGCATAAAACAAAATTTTAAGCAAACGGGATGGACACAGGCAACGCATGTCATATATACATGAAAAATCCTGCTTGCAAATGAAACTTATTTAAATATCTTATCAAGTATGAAATACTGACATCATCCAACGCGTAAACTTCAGTTAACCTATAACTTCCAAGTCCCAGACTTCTAGGTCCTAGAATCTAGGATATGTGAACCCAACAACTAACCGGTCTAACCTAATATGTCAATGTAACCACTTATTTGTAAATTCATTCTGATAGAGCTAGACAAGAAAGAGACACTAGCGTAAATATTTTATAGGTGAAACCTTTTCTTATCCAGTTTTCGTTATTAGGTACTATCCCACAAAGACTGCACATGGTGCTAGGTATTCATTTATAGCAACTAATCAGCACAACAACAATCCTTTGCAAACCAAAACAAGAATATAAGGTTTAGCAAGTGCAACTCATCGTCGACTATAGCATAATCAACATGAAGGTACTGAGAAATATACCTGTCCCTTCTCATGCTTTTAAAAACTGTTCGAGCTTGGTCCACCATTCCTGATACTGCAAATGCGTCAAGCAAAATGTTATAAGCTTTGCGGGTTGGTCTGCAAAAGAGAGAGAATGGTGGCAATTATAGGTTTCATCAATGGTGACGAATCAATGTCAAGAGTTGAAAATCCATTTTTAAGTTTCAAACACTTCAGCTCCCTGTATGACAAGAAAAAGTAGCATTAACCCTGTACCTGACACCAGCATCAAGCATCTCCTCAAAAACAGCTAAGGCTTCTTCCTCTCTTCTAGCTTTCCCATAAGCACTAATGAGTAAGGCATAACTCACTACGTCAGGTCGGAGACCAGCTCTTTGCATCTGCCATTAGAAGTTTCCTTTAATTTCTGATGCATTTTATTACTAACAATAAAGCTATTACTTGAGCAGCATGATAAGATATTAAGGTCACGGAACTTCAAGTGGGTAGTTTGTACCAATTTCAGCAAAACGAAGTAACACGATAAGCATGAGAAAGGGGAAAATACAGGACTTTTAAGTCTGCTTTGATCAATAAATTTTGTCAAATCTCTTTCAGAATTATACAGAACATTGATATGTAACTTTTACATGTGATTGGGAACCATGTAAAATCATAGTTAAATCTGGGTGATAAAAACGCATCGGTTTTCATTAAGGTAACTATTTTTTAAATTAAACAGGACATCATTGCTGCAAGACCGGACATTCTTCTATTTCGATCATAGATCAACCAATGATGCTTAAAAAAACAGACTAAGGAAACTATTTTTCTTTCTTCAAAACAAACCAGGAAAATATTGCTGTAACCGTATTTTATAATTCTAAAGCATACTCTAATAGGAAGGTTTAGTATGCTCTACCAAGCTGTACGACTAAGTATTAAGATATTTTCCCAAAATTTACCTGGTTATACATCTTGGAGACTTCCTTGTAATTATTTTCAAATGACATCAAGCTATTATAAGTAACCGTCGATTGTGGAACCCCTCTCTCAGACATCATTGCGAACATCTTCCGAGCTTTATCATAGCTCCCAGCCTTCTTATACATATAAATCATCATGTGGAACATCTTTTGGTCTGGATTTAAAGGTGATTTTTCCTCATTTAGAAGAGTCTCAAATATTTCTTCAGCTTCCTTGAACTTACATCCCTGTATTTCAAGGTACCATGTGAGGCAGGTAGAAAGACTCCAATGAAAGCATGCATATTGCTCAAATGGCAGCTATGTCATAAATATTGAAGATGCCGGCATCATCAAAATGTTGTCAGCACTAAGCTGAAAATTTAGAATTAAGATTTAATCGATGTTTTTAGGGACACTGAGTTTGGCTAAAGAAGGTTATTACCTCAACAAATATCTTTAGTATTATTTGATATGTCACAGCAGATGGTTCAGGGCCAGAAGACTGCATCCTTCTAAATATTGCTTCAGCATTGTTATATCGGCCTCCTATTCCATATGCTTCCATAAGAGCAGTATGAGATATTACACTTGGTGGATGGCCTTTCTGATTCATCAAACTTAAAAGCTTCTCAGCCCTCGTGTAGTGCCCTTGCTTTCCATAAGCTGTTATAAGCATCAGGAAATCCATTTTGCTGAAGTCCCACCAGTTCTGAGTTTGGAGCCATTCGAGAATCTAGAAGACAAAGAACATAAGCAAACAAGTGATTTAATCACCAAATAAAATCAAGTACTTAAAGAAATGCGCTCAGAAACCGAATAATTGCACAACAAAAAAGAGCATCTTTACATACCTGGCTGACTAGGTTCCATTTTTTCAGTTGCTTAAATCTAACCAAAGTTCCAAGGACAACATCCTTGGGAATAGTCTTGTCCTTCAGCTTTTCACTTTTGAGCACAGACACTGCAGAACCTGTCTCCTCAATTTCATTCATAAGTCTCCTCCAGTTCTTCTGCTCGGCTTCATCAGCAGCATCTTTGAAAACTTCTACCTTCTTCCTTTTCTGCAAGAACTTTCTTGGTGCCAGCATGCCCATACAAACTATCCCCACTCTTCCACGCACCTTGAGATTGGAACCTATAGAACTTGTGCATTCTTTCAATTTACTGAAGACAAAAACTCACAGAGTTATTACTGATATCACAATGAACACATAAATCATCGAAGTGCTCTCGAATTAGTAAGTTCTATCAAAAACATGATCGTCCCAGGTTAATGACAATAGGAATGTACAAAGTCGACAACTTCCACTTGCGCAAACAAGCCAAAGGCCACACCACAAAGAATAAACTACTTAACACTGCAATTAGAAAGATATAAAATAATGTAAATGTACTCTTATATGTATAGTATATGCTTGCACGTCTTCGACTTTGAGTTATATGACTCCCTACTTTGATTCCAAAGACATAAAGAACCAGCAAATTCACCTTCAACCCCAAGAAATGCAGCAATTATGCAAGACAGGAAAAGTATAACAGCCAAAAAAAAAAAAAAAACCTTTATACCAATCTTTCAGAATTTTGAATCAAAATTGAAACTTTAGTTAACCACAGTTCCCTGTTTGGCTGCCTTCATAATTTCATAGCTGAAGCATGCAACTTTCTAAGTAAAAACAACCCAGAACCCCAAACAGGACACTAAAAACTCGAACTTTACAACCCGAAAAGAAACCCAAAAGCTCAAATGTCAGATGGGTTTCTGAGGGTTTTGCAGGGGTTTAACAAAAGGAGATGAAGGAAAAACAAACAAACCTCCAATTATCCAAAGGAGCTGATGAAATAAAGGGCCTTAAGAAAAGGGTTTGAGGCATTTCTCCTCTGGATGTCTCTCAGAAGTGATTGAACCAAAGCTGAGTGTCAGTGGAGTTGAAGGGGATTTCTGAAGAAGGTGTGGGAGCAGAAGACTGTCATTTTTTTTTGACAAAAATCTTATCTTTTCAGAGCGGGAGTGACTGGTAATACAGAGAAAACCTGAAAGTTATGGACATACACACAAACAATTAGGCCTCGGACCTCAAGGCTCAAGGCCTGTTGGGCTTTGGGTTCTCCTTTTGTTCTACACCATGATTCTCTCCGGACCGTCATTTTTTATAATTGTACGGTCGAGATTTAACTAAACATTAATATTTTTTGGACCTGTAAACGAAAAATTGTTGTTTGACTTGTATAAATAACGAGTTGAATGTCGTTTATAAGTGTTTGGCCACAAGCACATTCTTTAAAGAGTAATTTATCGATTTTCCTCCTAACTTATACCCCACTACCCATATCCCCTTGCCTTTTATTTTGGTCAATATATTCTTGAGCTATTATAAATAGTCAATATCCTTCACTAGTACATCTCATCTAACGTTTTATTAAAAGTTTATCTCATGTTGATCATTAATGTTATTTAAATTACACAAAAGAAATCAATAGTGCGATACAAGTTTACAGAGAAATCGAATAAATAATCTTTATTAAAATCACATCAAGAATTTTAGTTACAAGGATTTCAAACTTTTTTGTCAAATTTTTGGTTCTTTGAAAACGGTCTTAGCTATTTTCTATACATACGATATACTATGCTTTTAGCTATTTTAAAACATTTAACCTATTTTAAGAACAATTTAAACATAGATGAAAAATTTTTGGGTTACGCTACACTTGTCATTCAAGCCGCCATAGGTTAGGCATAATATCATAGTGCTAGTGCCTAAAATTACAGATCTAAGTAAGCACAGTCATTGTGACGACTCGTCCCAAATTGTTATGTATAATTTCTCCCCAAGTATGTAAAATGACGATGTTGCCCTCGTTGGCTTAGTGAAGTGGACGTACGTATACAGTTTTAAATCAATTTTCCCGATAATGTAATTAAATCGTACTCGACATCACGAGTGCGTTGACATAAGTTAGGGCCGAATCGGACTAGTAACGAAAAAGTTACGAATAAACGAATATGTAAATGGGTAGGATTATATTTTAGGATTGACTATACTTTGTCCACTAATCACCTTAACTCCTACTTTATTAGGCCCAATCAAACTTTGGGTTTGTTTTATTTTTTCTTTGGGCCAACTAAAACTTAACTCTCTCTCCCTTTTTCTCACGACATCCTAATCAGGGCTTATTACCATTTTCTTCTGGTCAATCCCGTACACAGACACACACACGTACGCATACCCTTACCCTTTCACCTCTTCTCGATCCTTCTCCTTCGTCCATACACCCAAGAGCACACCCACACTCAAACTATACCAAAACTTCACGAATCACTCGAGATTTCCACCTTCACACTCATCTCGAGCTCTAGAATCTCATGATACCATTCGTTAGGTGAGTTAAAGTGTTTTAACTCGAAGAATCATAACCTCCGGTGATGTGTCTTTTTGGCTCTGACGTGATCGTGGTCTTTTTCCAAGGTTTTAAGGCTCAAGGAGGTTTCTAATCAACTATATAGGGACCCTAGGCTAGTTTTGGAGTAGTTGGACGTCAGGACACACGAGTTCAAAGGATTCCAGTTTTGGCCGGTTTTTCCAAGGGTTTTTCCGACCATTTTCCGTTGGTTTTTGGACTCTTAATAGAAACCGGCGAATACATACGACGGCTCCTGCGAGGTCCACCAGAGAAGAAGGAGAATATTCCATTAACTTTAACAGAATATTCTTATGGCGTCAGGTGAAACATACCCCGAGGACGAGCATGGACAAGTGAGATTAGGGGGGCCACAATTATATATCGTGGTTTCCAAAACATTTTTAAAATGATTTATGCTTTAAATGCCATGTCGAAAATGAGTTGCATTTTAAGTATTGCATTATTATAAATCGTGAAGTATATCGTTTAATGATGCGGAGGTTCAGGTAAGCTTCAGGTGAGTATATTGTGATGGTATTGGTTGCATGGCACATTGTTATACATAAACGCATTTAGAGCTCATCATTGTTGCACCCTGGTGTTAGTGATCCCGCTCGAGGCCAGGACACAATCATTCACATGATGTTCACCTCCCACACCGCACGGTCACCTTGGATCCAAGTTTGGTGCCAACCCTGTCGTATAGACCACAATAGGTAGATCCAACTCGTTGGTGACCCGTGATTATTTGCACAGCCTTCACATGATCGTAGCTCTTAAGCGTACATATTTACACCCAGCCATGTCGTACATACCACAATAGGTGGTTTCGACTCGTGTGCTAGCATATATTGATGAGCTATAGGTCTAGTCGTACATATCACATTAGGTGACTCCGACTAGCATATTATTTTATATTGATTTCACCTAACTTACATCTTTTAGTGCTGAAACGTTATGGCAAGGCATACTTCAATTTTTATTGCCCTTGTGCATTGGTATTCGTATATATATACGTAGTATTATTTTCTGGAACTATACGTGTTTTATAGTGAGGGGTTATTATGTTCAGAAAAGATAAATGTGTTTTCAAACATTTTGTTTTTGCCCATTCACCCTTCTGTTTTGCGCCCCTCCAGGTCTTAAGTAATTGTACATCTTGGTGGCTCACGAGGACTTCTCGGTGGTTCTGACAATCTACTAAATAATTGTAGGGATCTTCTCCCTGTTTGTACAATTAATACTTAGTTAGTTCGATTGCACTTTCGTTTACCTATGCTTTGATATGTGTGTATCTTATACCTGATCACTTTCACCCACTTACATATTATCTCTAGTTTAAGTATGTGATATTCCATTCCCAAAATTATTATTTTATTTTATTTTTGATGTATTTCAAAAATTTGATTGGAACTAGTTCTTTATTTCTCCAAATTTAAGAAAAACGAAGTAAGGGTTACTTTAGTCATTTCCAATTTTCTCGACCTTTTCGGTCAACTCTTGAATTAGTTAGGTAGAGTTTGATTCCATGAGCGCGTATGCGTAAACAGATCTTATTTCCAAGTCAGAACGGAAAAGTTAGAGTCGTTTGAAGTTGGTGGCATTTTGGTTATTTTACTAAAATGCTATAAATGGGAGTGAAACCTCCAGAAAAGGGGGAGGTTTTTGAAAAATGGAAAAAAAGTTGTTACTAACCCGTTTTAGGGAGACTTGGACTCATAAACCCACCAAACTTGACCTGCTTGTATCTTCTTCATCCTAGCTCTGTTTTGGATGATCTTGGTGTCCATGGAAAACTCTTGATGAGCCCTACATCTCTGTGATGTTAGATTTCTCCATTTCCTTTCCATCTTTGCAGTTCGAGGTCGCAAGCCCACGACTTTTCCGGCGGTTTTATCATTTTTCCGGCGATTCCGGCAACGATTTCCTTCGAGTGAGGTATGAAACTTCATCTACTATTCATAATCTTCAAGTTGGTATGCTTAGTTTGTACTTTCGTATTCATTTTAAAGTTGGGTGTTTAGAACCCTAGAAATCCGGTTTTCTCCGGTGAATTTGAACAGTTTCCGGTTAGAATTTATCGTCGGCCTAGTTGTGAAAAATGTTTCCCTTGTTGAGCTCTAGCTACCACGTAAATTTGAACTCATCTAGTTAATGTTGAAAATTCAAGGTTTCTAAACCCTCCATCTTGACTTCCACCGTATGTGGCAGTGCGTGGGATCGTTCACGAGTGTTGTCTAGGTTTTAAATACCTTCTAGTGACCCTGTGAACCTATGTCTAGATTCTAGTGACCCTGTGAACCTATGTCTAGGTCATTTTCCAAAGATTCAATTGTTTGGTGTGGTGATCAATTTGGACCGCCACTTGTCTGTGTGATTGACGACAATCCGACCGTTGGATCATAATGAAACTTTAGTATGTTATTCTCGAAGCATAATGTGGACTTTGGGAAGTTATGGATCATAAATCTGATTTGCGGATCGTTGTGGACCCCATCGTTGACCGAGAGTTAAATTGTGGTCAACATGTCTCGTAACGTTCTAAATAATAAAATTAGTACTATGGGAGACTTAAGTGAAGTCTAGTAGGCCTACATTGGTTAGAGAGTGACTTGAACATATGTGATATGGTTATTACCTTGATTTCTTATATTGGTATCATCTGTGAATTTGACTTGGTTTTATAATGTGATTCTATTAAAATGTGATTATATATATATATATATATATATATATATATATATATATATATATATATATATATATTTAGCCATAGACCTATGTTTATTAAACATGATTTGGCTTGTGTATTGATGATGATCGTGATATGTGATTTGACGTGCATATTCGAAAGGTGGTTGATTTACATAGATGGTATGATATGATGAAATGTGAGTGACTTCAATATATGTGAATATGAAATGGTTTTATAATCATTTTTCCTATAAATTGTTAATTTTTATATTTAGCCAATGATGTAGTTATATGAAGTGGGATTTGACGTGCATATTGGAAATATGGTTTGTTTTGTATGATTGGCTTGATTTGATGAAGGTGAGGGCTAGTGGTGGACCATTAACCCATTGTCATGGGGTTTGTTTCTTCGAAACATGTCTCAATGCTCGTTTCATTATTTCATTTCTTGTTTCGTTGAGCATTTATAACTTGAGTAACTTGATTCATGTGTTGTTTCATTGATTGGTGGTTATGCAATGTACTCCGCGATTCCGTTAAGTGATGGTCCGGAATCGTATCCTGGTTTGGATTCCGTTGAGTGATGGTCCGGAATCCTTCCTACTCCACTCCTCGATTCCGTTGAGTGATGGTCCGGAATCGTATCTTGGTTTGGGTTCCGTTGAGTGATGGTCTGGAATCCCTCTTACTCCGCGATCCCGTTGAGTGATGGTTTGGGATTGTATCCACCGTAGTTCATTGAGTTTAGTTTGAGATAGTTGCAAAGGTGTAGGCTTTGGATGAACTATGTCGCCCTAATTCTACTTTCATTGTGTGTATGTGAATATGGGTGTGAGATGTTATGGTTGTTTGAAATGAACTTTTGGATGAAAGATTTATATTCAAGGTTTATAAATTGTGATTGATGGCTGGTTTTATTATTGTATCACATGC